CACACGACAGGGCTGTGGGCCATCAGAAAGCACCACAACCGACGTCCCAGAGATGTGTCTTTCTAAGAAAAGGGCATCTTGTGGCAGAAAGAAAGGGAAGGGACTTAAGGGAACCTTCTCAAATTGGAATTCTCAGGCATCCCATAGCAGCCCCGCTCACTTCCCAAAGACACAAAGCACATCCAGAGTGATTCACACGTGAGGCATCTGCCCAAAGAAATGCTGTAACATATAGTCATGGTGAAGTCATATCTGTTAAGTGTTATTCTTCCTCATTCCTCCATTCTTTCAGCAGAAGTCTCCCTTCCCCTTGCCAGCACCAGAACCCACTTGTCCTGCACAAGCCTTAGGATCATAATGGCATGGAGTTATCCAGAGCTGCTCATAAAAAGCCTTTTTGTGCATAGGGACAGGCGTCCTTCCCCCTGCACACAGCACAATCACTCGATATCTCTGCTGACAAAAGCCTACAGAAGCCAGGGCACTGACCAGGACTGCAGCTGGGTCACGCCAGCAGGCAGCTGAGGCTGCAAACAGGGATTTCTGTATCCCAGCCTAAGCCAAGAGCAGCACGTGTGGAGGATGGCTCACAGCCGTGGAATTAAGGCAGAGAACACTCCTTGGTGTTCCTTCCTGCCTCGTTGGCATTCATTCTTCATAGCCAAAGGAGGTAACAGCACAGTGAGCTGGGCACAGGAGCTGCCCAGGCACTCACACTTGGTCTTCTATCACTGCTGGGTCTTCGCTATGAGCCTGCTATGGATCCTCCTGCAAAGAACAACTGTAATGGAATAAAGCAGCTCTACATCAATCAGAAAACTCTATGAGAGGAAATAATTCCACATGTCCAACTAAAACAATTATACACTATCATCAACCAACCCCCTCGTGCACGAGCCACAGAGCATACATGGCATGTCGTGTCTCCTGCAGATCCAGCAGGTCTCAGAACCCAGCAAACACCCTCTTCCAAAGGAAGGTCGTGGCTGCCAAGCTTAGAGGTAGGTTCAAGGCCAGCAACAAGAATCATCCGTTCCAGAGGTGTTCAAGACCAGGTTGGATGGAGGCCTGGGCAACCTGGGCTAGTGCCAGATCTGAAGGTTGGCGGCCATGCCTGTGGCAGAGGGTTGGAACTTGATGATCCTTGGGTTCCCTTTCAAACCAAGCCATTCTATGATTCCATGGGACACAGCAAACCAAACTTGGGCAGAAGACCCAATGCAGAGTTGGAGAACAAGCTGGAGTCTCTCCATTCTTTCGCATCAAGACGACGAGTTCAAAGAAGCTTTAAAACAGCAAGAACAAGACCAGGGTACAGCAGAGGGGCACAGAAACACAATAGGACTGTTTAAGAAGAAAACCTCCTTCCCTATCAAGTCCCCTTACAACTGTCCTCATCACCACGGAATTTGAGTGCCTTCCAAAAGCTTATTAATCAACGCAGCGTTCATTTGTCATGTGGAGGTCGTTCACCCTCCCACTGGGTCTAATTTGGCCCAGGGAATTCCATTTATATGCTGATGTAGGGAGAAAAATATTAAGAAAAGTTTGACTTTCAAACCATGCTTGTGTGAAAGGGTCCTCCCTGTTTACCACAGCTCAGCTGAGTCTGCTCCTTAAGATCACGATGAGCGTGTCCGATGAGTTTAGGCTTTAGGCACGTACAGCCATCCAGCTGGTGAGCAAATAGATGCTGCACAAAGGAAGCAATGCATTCAAGCCTTCTTTACTGTATTGAAGTTCAGTCCAGACTAACCAACAAGCAGCCAGGAAGCGTTATTTCTTTTAATTAGGAATCTCATTTCAAGTGAATCATAAGTCCATATGCTTTAACAGGCAAATGGAAGCAGCTAGCTCACCTGCGTGCACAGGGCAAATCTCTCTCTTCAGTTTCTTCCTCTTCAAAGTCATTTGGTCCTATAGGAGGTCACACAACCACTAACAAATTTAGCACCAGTAGTGTAGACTGAGGAGGAAACCATCCTCTAGGACCCAACTGCGTGCGCCAGGCCGTAAGGATGGCATTTACAGTTCAAAACGTAGAACTTGTGGAAACGATGACAAGAGGAGAAATTGAAACTGTTCTGAGAGGGCAAAGAGGCCTCTTGTTTTGAAAGAGGCACCTTTCAAAGCACAAGAGTGCTTTCTACAGCCCTTCCCCCACTGTTTCCTTGCCTCGGCCACCTGAGCACGGATCCAAGCCTCTCTCCTCAGGGTCACTTTGGTGAGGGTACAGTCCAACACCAAACATCAGGCGTTACATTAAATCAGTGATGAACATGATAAATATGAACGATGACAGGATTAGATCAAAGCTGCTTTCAGTTTCTGGAGACAACTCAAAAGACAGCCATGCTGCTTTTACCTCCGTTTATGAGATAGCAGCTGAGATAACAGGACTGTTGGTAAGACTCAAACGTGTACTTGGCACCCACACAGTAACTGTTGCACGGGGTGGGTATGGCAAATGCTGATCAAAGAACGTTTCTGATTAACTAAGAACCAAAGCCTGCATCTCCAAGGTTCTAAAAAGCATAGTTTCACCCTCTTGAACTTCTGCAGCTTCTCAGAATTTACCCTAAATGTCTTTCTGTAGCAGTGGATTAAGAAGAGATGACTCCACTTTGGAATCAGCACAAGACAAGTACGATATCCTGAGTTTCTGGAAAGAAGTTTTCCCATTTTGGAACCGATGACTCTGACTGTCAACAGCTTCTATCCACAGATTTGTAAACACTAGATGCCTTTCATCCAGCACAAGCTTTATCTGACCTGATGACAACAAGGAGTTGAAAGTGGAAAGGACGTGAGTCATCTTCACTAGACTCCACCATGAAGAAGCCATGAGAAGGACGGAGGATGGCGCAGTCCGAGGACTCAGCTCTTTGAACCTCACCATAGACTTCATTTTCTTAGCTTGTAGAGATGGCAGCTTCTCCCAGGTTTCACAGGTGCTTTCACTTCTGCAAAGCAAAGAGCACATTTCCCTTACAGTACTTCAGAAAGAGAATTAACATTGTGCAGCCCAAGACAAGCATAAGAAAATGTGACCTGAAGGCTGCGCCTGTATACTGAAGTGTGTCTGAATAGAAGACTTTAACAGAAGCAACCACTTCTCCCCCAGCAAAGGAAAAATGCTACAACAGGGGTTCCTCATTACTGTCAAATGAGGAAACAGCTCATTCTCACTGAAGCTGACACGCTGCAGAACTCTAACAATACACAAAGTTACGGTGACCATTGGATTCTTATTGGTTTTTTTTTTCCTCATTTCACAGCAGCTTTTTGTTCTGTAAGGTTTTACAATGCACAAAACACGAGGAGCAGTACTCCAACCTGTCGGAATGGATCACCTCCACCCTTCTTTGATCTGTATTTGATGGTTGACTTCTGCCCTGTTGTGAGGGAGCAACACACAGGCACACTACAGACGTATAAATAACCACCAGCTGTGTTATCCAAATGCAAGACGACTTCCAAGCCCATCCTGAGGCAGCAGCAGTGCCCTTAGAGTGCTTCCTTTCCTGTCAGCTGAAAGTTTAAAGTGTGTTTAAGAAGATAAGTGGCTTTAAATGAGCATCCAGTGAGGCAGCATCTCTCACGACTAACACAACTGCATTTCTTGTAGCAGGGAAAAAGCCTATTCATATGTTTATGAGGGAATCACAGGACAAGTCTTAGTACCAGCAATTTTAGCATCTTCTGCTTCAGCAACTCAGCCCTGGAACAGCACTCAAAGACAAAGCAGCTTGCATCCAAACAGAAGGTTGAGGAAGGAGCAAATAGGTTTAAAACAAAAAAAAAAGCAGACTTGGAAAACTGGAAAGGTGTAAGGACACAAGTCATTCTCAGAGCTCATTTACTGCAGCTACACATTTCTGTACCACATTTTTAACTGCAGGCTTCTAAGACCAAACCAGTCACACCCTTCCACCTGATTTGGTTTTGTGGTGGTTGGTTTTTTGCATGTTATTCTACTAAGCACAGCCAGACATACTCTCAGACTTTTATTTCCTTCTGTTAGAATGTAACAGCTGCTTTAACAGCCTGTGCTACCATCAGCACAGACCACAGCTTGAAAAATACTATGCCAAATCTTTGACTAGTGTAACTTAGTGGGGTGTACAGACCTTCAAGAGAATCACGTTATTTCCCATCATTTAAGATTTAATTCATTGCATCCTGGTGTGAACTGCAGGGGTTAAGGCCACCCCTGCCTCAGCCAGGGGTGAAACAAAAAGTTCTGGTGAAACAAGAAGTTCTATGGGATTTGTAGAGAACTCAATGGGTCAAAAGACCTCAGTTGTGCCTTGCTTTATGCAGCATTTACTCTTGCAGCTATTCCTCAAACTAAATTGCTGTGAAGATTTTAAGTACATAAAACTGCACGGTATGAAAATAGGAAAGCACTGTTTGCAGGCCCAGGTGAGCAGAGGACACCTCAGGTGCCTTTTCCTGTTTATACATCAGGTTAACTCTTTTGTGATGCAAAATGAAGCGAAACTGAGACTTCAGGCCTACCACCAAGAACCACAACCTTTATTTTTCATCTTCTGCCACTGTGATGCTCATGAAGTGCATAACCAAGTATCCCAGTGGGTGCATGTTCACAGCCAAGCCTTAAAAACACCCAACACGATAAAAACAAAAACCTCAGATCAGATTCTCCTGGTTAATACAGAAAGATAGCAAACCAAGCAAAAACTAAATGAAGTCATGACTCCTCCACTCTTTCAGGTACTAACAGCATCCAGTTTAAATAGCTGCCATAGAGATGCACAGTAAGTTCTTAAGATCTGTGTTGTGCAGAGCAGGAGGCAACTAAACAGCCTGGATTCTGAAGATGTTATCTGTAAGGACAGCAAAGACATTTCATGATTGCTAGAACAGTTGCTACAAATGGCTTCGTTATTTATTTATGGTTTGAGGGTTGGTTTTTTTTTCCAGTACAAAATATTACAAATAAGTTTGCTACATCGAGATAGGAAATAAAAAAATAAAAATAAATCCCTGTTAAAAGCTATTTAAAATACATATAAAACTGCTATTTCAATCACATAATTATAAATATATTATGAGCCAAGTACTTCCTAAAACTATATTTGCTTTGGAAGTGCACACCACCACTACACACAGCCATCATGTATTTAAAAACCTGTCTTTTGCATCAAATCACTGATCTTTTAGTATCTTATAAATATGGCAAGATTGTATTAGTGCAGATAGATGTAACTGAATTCCACAAAGCATGTGTTGCACCATATTTGCTGCCTTATCTATTTCACATCAATCTCTCTGCAGGTTTGCTAAGCACAGCACGCCTTTATTTGAAGAGGAGATCCTTATCAGTTCCAGGGTACCTTCCTCCCTAAGACACGGTTGGTGATTTTCTGAAAGACAAAAACAAAGTGGCACAGATCAGTTTCACCCTTCTAAAAACATCACAAGCATAAATGTAGTGCTGATAAGAGTTCTGATCAGAACGTATCAGCATGTAACACAACTCAAAGGAACAACTCTTTGCACAGCTAAAGCAGCCTCGCTGCTTCCCACTCAGCAATATGGACAACACAGGGTCATCCCTGTGCTGACTGCTGTGGAAGTGGTCAGAAAGAAGCCTGAAGTGCTGGAAAGCACCTTGACATTAGCTGATGAACATTACACCACAGAACAGTGCCCCTTAGTGCTGCAAACACCAGGAGTTTATACCTCCCAGAACAAGCAGACACACTGATGAAAGAAAAACCATCAGTTTATTGAAGATGTCTCAGTTCTCCTTGGTCATAATCACACGAGATGTTGGAGCACTCCAGAGAAGCACTGCTAATGCTGACTGCTCTTCTCTGGCAGCACACAGCACACATGTATGAATTATACACACAGTATGCGTGCTAATACAGTATATGTACATATATGTTTATGCATACAGAAAGCAAAGCCACTGATGTGAGTCTCAGTGTGGAATCTGTCCCCATGATCACAGCATGAAGCCTCTGAGCATTCCTTCCAGCTCCCAGCCCACTCTGCAATCTAATCAGCAAACTCAGCTAGCAATTAGATGCTATCTACCCTCTTTGCTTCACTTCCAGGAAGCAGCTGGAAGACAAGACAAAGCAGAACCCTAACATGGTGCTGACAAGAGGGAAAACGTAGCCAAGGGGATGAAAAACAAACACTCAAAAAATACCACAGTGCAGCAACCAAGTGCAATTCAGTCTTATACCTCGAGCAACACACACTTTTCTTTTGAGGCAGTGACACCTTGTGGTTCCTATATTACATTGACTTTAAAGGAAATGGCCCATTCACATAAAGAAGAGGAAAAAAAATCTATCTGCTAAAAGGAAATTCTCAATGGAATTGAGAACAGGAGACATGCTGCCTCCAGGGAGCAGTGTGGCCCACATAACAGCAGCTGTTGCTCACACTGAAAACACAAAGCTTTGTTTTCTCCTACAGAAACTGCTGTGCACATTTCCCTTTCACAGCACTGACAGGTGTAACTGTACCTGTAGACACTGGTGTGAGGGTTTCACTAGCAAGTGATTCTTTAGCAAGTATCTGTCCATGTCCATACAGATGAGTGTGTGTAGATGTTTAATTCACCATATCCATACAGATGAGTGTGTGTAGATGTTTAATTCACCTCTTCCTTTCCCAAACATTACATATTCTTAACCTGTGAGCCCTGGATGACCTGCAGAAACAGCATGCACCTGGTACTGCTAGCTCATCCCATCCTTAGAGCCAGCTGGACTGCGATCCATGGGGTGTGCACCTGGTTTTAATTCTTACATGTCTGCTCTTTTATCACCAGTGACAATGCCCCAGAGCCATGTTATATCATGGCCAATATACAGTGAATTTAGGATGTAAGTACACGTCATCATTATCACAGAGTTCAGCCACTGGTGCTGGGAGGAGAGAGTAAGCACTCAGCCACTGAGCAAAAGCTTGTGCAGCAGTCTAAGACAGCCCCATGTCCCCAGCTGTTTTGTTCCTGCTCTCTATATTAACATTTATGGTTAACCTCCTGAGCTGCACCCAGACCTGGAGTGGCTGTGGCACCAATACATCGTTCCCCAATCAAGACATCTAGTGCTTGCCTACCAAAACCCAAAGACAGAAGGACAACAAGTATCATTAGGACAGGCCATGCCATTGAGCACTAACCTGGGAGTCACCAATACCAGTCAACACCACACCTGCACACAAAACTTGTGATGTGATTTTGTGTCTTCTGCCAGCTATGTAGTTAAGTCAGCAACTGCCTGCACTCATTAACCATAAGGCCACACCATACTGGGACCTGAGATTCTCAGACTAGGGGAAAAAAATAAGTTCTGAGCACATTCAACATAGCATGAAATGGAGGTAATTCATGTTGTAAGAACTCCCAGTCAGATTAGGAAGGTATCCCAGATAATACATCCATTACAAGCCTTTGCTTTTAAACATCCAGTTAATAACTTTTTCCAGCTCTAGTAGGACAACTCGGCCAAGGAATAGTTGCAATGCTAAAAACTGAAGGGTAAGCTTAAGATCCAGAAGAAAAAGAAACCAGTTTTCAAATGTAATGTGCGTCCTTAAACGAGTGAAGCCTATCATGCAGTTTATTGCCTGCTTCCTGAGCTTTGCAGAAGGCTATTTTTTTATGGCATATGTCAGACAGCAAGAACATTGAGGTTTAGGTTAAATATTAGGAGCAAGTTTTACACCAAGAGGGTGGTGAAGCACTGGCACAGGTTGCCCAAGGAGGCTGTGGATGCCCCATCCCTGCAGGCATTCAAGGCCAGGCTGTGGCTCTGGGCAGCCTGAGCTGCTGGTTGGTGACCTGCACACAGCAGGGGTTGGAACCGGGTGAGCACTGTGGTCCTTTTCAACCCAGGCCATTCTGTGATTCTATGATAAGATGCATCAGGTTTGAGCATCAGTGCTTTCAACACTGTCTGTGTTTCTCACCTTTCAGTTTTTATTGTCTTAAGAGAAAGCAAAGCATGTGAATGCCCACAGCTGTTCAAAAAGCAATACACTGGTCAGCCAGAGATGCACTTCACAAAAGGGACTGATGGGTCTCTTCTGTTTTATCAGGATATTTATCACATCATTCATTGCATATAATTCCATATTTCTGTGCAGCACATCAGATCAGATAATAAGGTGCACATATGGGAGGTGATAGGAACAGACATCTTTCTCATTGTGATTAATCCAGGACAGTCTTTCTGCCACAAACAAAACCTGAGCTTAACAGACAGACACAAAGCACCTGTTAATCAAATTGGACAGCCAAGGAGGAAGTGTTAACAGCAGCTGTTGGCTGGAACAGAAGCAGCTCCCTACAGGGAAGTCACCACTATGGCAAAACAAGACAGGATTCAGCAAAGCTCTACAGCAAAATCAGCCCCACTGATTCCTTCTCCTGCTCACCAAAATCCTGGAGCCCTCACCTCACCTTTGGGCTGTTGTTGGTTGTACTGTGAGTATCTAGCACAGGAAAACAACCTGCTGGTCAAGTGTTTGTAGTTCAAAGGCAGTCACACCCATGCTGAGATAACAGCTTCTTTTGCAGCTTGCCAGCCACAGCTGATCCCAGGCCCATCAGTGCCAGCACAGCAGCACTGAGCTATCAGCCAAACAAATGCTTCATGGTGAAATCCACAGCCCTCAGAACTAACAGATCACCATCAGGACTGCCAATTCTTCACTGAAGGCAAATGAAGAATGACAACTAAGGGCTGTATTAAGCATGGCTGCAAAGTTCACTATGAATCCTGCAGGCTAAAGCCATCTACAGCAAGAGTGGCCACGAGTTAAACAGCAGCCTTCAACTCAAAGAGCTCTCTATGGAAAACCATTAAATATGCTCCACAGCCTGCCTTGTTTCCACAACACTGCACATGGCCTTTTCTGCATGCTTCCTACTTGGGCCCATGCTCCCTCATTATTTTTCTCTACACACATGTAAGAATGTGCAAATACCACAAAATTACTACAATGCTGATGACCTCAAGGCCAAAAAATATATATATATATATTCTAATCTGTTTGAATATGAATACCTGACCAGAAGACCTACCATTTTGTACAGCTGTGCTTTCAGGCGATATGAGTTGTACTCAGATTTTCTTTTTTCTTCCTCTCGCTTCTTCTGCACCTCTGGCAGCTGCTCATAGATCCTTGGTGTAAATACAGACAGAAACAGTGACTTGGAAGGAAGGAACTTAATGATATAAAAAACACCACCTTTTTTTTCCTTCACATTCTGTTAAAGGCTACTGGTCAGTCGTATCAAAGGAAAACTTATTTGGGGGGTTTACCAGCGTCACACGCATGGAAAGTGTGGAATACACAGCAGTTGGGACACCAGAAATTCCCACATCCCACATCTCTTACAAGTAGCACCCTCCTAAAAACACTGTTTGTAACACTGGAATGGCCATACAGCTGATCTGATCGGGTAGTTTTAATATCAGTGCAGAATAGCCTCATTGCTGTGAGACTGAGTAGCACACTTATCCATTGACAGCAACATCTCTGTGACAAGTGTAACTTGAATTAAGTTGTTCAGGCATCTTATCTGCCTTGTCTAAGTCAATGCTTTATCTTCTCCCCTGCTGAAGTACTCCCACAGCAGAGACAAACAGCAAGGGATGCTCTGGAATCAAAATAAGGGTGGCTGGTGCTCATTGCAGTGCTACAGTAGGCTGTTTTTACATGCTGCCACCTAAAGGAGGGACCTGAGAGCTATAATGGAACAGCAGTGCTGACATTGCCTCCCTCTCATCTTCCTTTAAGATCATAGGGCTCAATTCATGACAGTGGTTGCCAAGGACCAGAAAGCTTCAAAAGAAGATTACGGCCTATTGGAGGTGGATCTGAACCACGTTCAAAAAATTCCAGTCTCATTATACCTAAAGATAGATGCTAGAACAGTCCCCTTACAAAATAATGACTTGATAATCAGCAAATAGGAGAAGGAAAAAGACAGACCTTGCTACAATACTGCTGAGGTAACCTCTGAAAGCCTGCTTCATTCTTACGTCAATATGGTAACAACTTGCCATAATTACTGCTCACTTTGAATATTTTAAACACATCCGTGCCTTCCACTCTTATCTGAAAGTGCCTTCACACATTTCATTTTGAAGACTGCAAATGAAATGAGCCCACCATCCAGGAGAGAGCAGGGGGATCTCTGACAGCCCTGTAGGTCCCAACAGCAGAAAAACAGGTAATTTTTCAGACTGGCACGAGCAGTGATGGAGGCAAACGTGTCAGCTGGCACTGAGCTGCTTTTTAGGCAGTATGACTTGAGTGCCACTTCCATGTTTCAAAGGACAGAATAGAAGCCAGCAGGAAAACAAACTAACAGGAAGGTGTCAGACAAAACCACTAAATACATGGAATTGAGAAAGCAGGGAATCAAATTCAAATACTGACCAGAAAACATGAAGTGAATCACATTTGGATGCTTACTTTCCACCTCTGACATCTGTCTGTAGGGCAGCAGAGGGTGACAGGTCTATGTAAGTGCTACTGAAGGGGGGATTTGGAGTTTCACTTTACTACTACATCACCCCTCTCTAAAGCTTTCACCATCCCAAGACTCTCCTGAGTGAAAGATCAAGGTTTACCACTCACTGATTCATCCCCCCATAAAGATATTTAAAGCAAGAAGCAGACAAGTTGGCATTATGGGTCAATTCATTGAAAATTGTTTTCTTTAGCTCTAGCTAATTTACCATGAGAAATTCCATTTATTCCCTTGCAGAGAAAAAGCAAAAGCTTCTGTACTCATTACAGGTAGGGATTTCAGAAGAATGGAATAAATTGTTTCTCAGATCCAACTGAGAGCTGGAGTATGACAGCAGTAAGAACAAAAAAAATGCCACCAAGTGTGACTTGCCTGAATCAGTCTCCATAGAAATCCTGCTGATTTAGGTGTTACAAAACCAGGGTTTCTGAAAATAGCTGAGTTCAGATGTATCAACCACAAGGTCCAAGTGACCTGAACCCAAACCCTTCCATTTCAACTAAAGCATGGAGCTGTGTTCCTGAAGGAGCTGGCATACTTACCATTTTTTGTCACCTCTCTATCAATGCCCTAAAAATACTGTTCAATGTCAAAGGCCATTCAAGTAAAACACCTTTTTTTCTTCCACCATATACAAAACAGGGTCTGTTTTATATATTGTGCATTCCAATGGATGGTTTGTTGAATCACTGTGTCATTTAGGTTGGAAAGGACCTCTGGAGGTCATTCAGTCCAATCTCCTGCTCAAAGCAGGACCAACTTCCAGGCTAGATTGAGTTGCTCAGGCCTCATCCTGTCACAACCTCTATTTCCAAGGATTGAGATTTTCCCATCTCTGTGAATCCCTGGTCCAGCATTACACCACCCTCTTTGAGAGAAACATATTCACTCATCTCTCCCCTTAATGGAACACATTACTACTGTTGCTTATCCCACCACCACGTTTAAAACTACACACTCCAGCACCCTACATTTCATCTCCTTTTGGGATCGAGCACTTGGAAAGTTGTAGTGGTTGGACCCCAGATACTGCTACAGAATACTCAGGTTAAAAAATATATATATTTCAAAGTAGTTTTACTTCTAGGATTTTATAAATAGGTGTTTTCTGACTCTGATAAAGTGCCTTTTTCTTGAACTGTAAAAGCTGAGTCACCCCCAAGCCATCCCCCCACCCTCTTTTCTTCCTCAGATGCAATTCATCCCTCTTTCCTCCTCATTTACTCAACCTTACCGTTTAGATCTTTGAACCATCTCACTCTTTGGAATTGCTCTTCTCTTTTCTTTAATCAGATAACCTAAATGGATAAGAAAACAGTGTGGAAGTCTGCTTACCACAAAGAAAACTGTTGTATCAACCTTATTCCTATATGGACTTCCTGGCTTTTTATACATAACATAAACGTAACGCTGTTATTAAAAGCACACACATCCCTTAGAACAGGGAAATAAATTAATCCCTATAGGACACCAGGAGAAGAAACACAGAGGTACCTCTGTCAGCCAGCACATGACTTGCATTCCTGTAGCCCTTCCTTTTCTCTGGAGGATTAAAAAGCTCTTCTGGTTCAGACTGCAGCACGCTCTGCATTCTCCTCTCCTCCATTAAAAGCTTCAGGTGCTTCACGCGCTCACCGGAGCGGGAGATGAAATCAGGGCGATGCACTGCAAGAGCCTCCTAGGATGGGAGGAGGAAACAAAATCTGAAGTGGCCACACAGCCTCCCTATAATCAGAATAATCAAAACAGCAGAACAGGAATAGATGCAACTGAATTTAAAGGAACCTCCCAAGTGCACCTGAACAGAAACTATCAATCTAATTTCACTTGTTGCAGATAATTGTTACAGAAATCTTTATGCACGCTAAATACCTGTGGAAAAATACAGATATATAGTGGTGACACTTGATTTGATCTGCAGTGTACACTATGTATGTACATGCATGAATATACATGCATACACTGCTTGCAATGCATGAGTTAAAGCCTATTTTTACTACACACTATGTACATCATACTATTATTTCTGCATGGCAGCAAGAATGACTTGACATCACCTCTCCTACATTCCCTCCACACTGCTCAATTCAAACAGATCATTATACTGTGCAAAGCCAGGCTGCCACAAGCAAACGAGGCTGATGAGCTCTTTTTGCTTGGGTTCTAGTAAATACAAAGCAGTCAGGAAAAAGAAGGAAGAAGAGGAATAAAAAGTGCTTCCACAAGATTCAACATTAGTGCTGAAGTCACAGGGACCCCAGCATGCCTTTACCTGCAGCGTAAGCTTCACCAGTGGCTGGATGGGCCTGGTCTCAGCATCTCTTTCTGGAGCTGCAAGCTGAGTCACTTTGCTGCACTGCTGCTCTTGAAAGTTCTTCTCTCTCAGAGGCTCTCTCCAGGGCTTCGTGGTGGTGAAGGGTTCAAACCAAGATGAACCAGGACCAGGGATGGAATTGGAACAGTTTTCTTTCCTAGATTCAAACCTCAAATCCTCTGCTTGGACAAACCATGAAATCCCTGTTGAAGAAACCACAGAAGACAATGAAGATAAGCAAACAATACACATGCCCCTTTTCCATCCCCATCTGTAGCCTTTCATGCCCAAGACCTCAGCTAACACAATCCATGCCTAACACTGCAGTAAACACTCACTTCAGTTACTGCATTGATTTCAGTGTGACTTGGTGTCAGACGACTTTGGTGGTTTCAAAGAATTCCTTTGCCAAGCATCAGTAAATCAGCAAGCCTTTATGAAATAACCCTTCAGGAAATGTACAAAATGGCTTCCTACATTCATGCTCCTCTCTTTTTAGAAGGAATGCTTTACTTATCAGCAACTACACGTTTTTAAAGAGCCTATGTGCTGTCCTAAACCTTATGGCTTTTAATAGTTATTTTTCAAGAGCAAATAGTGTACATCTTGCAAATGTTGAATATGTATACAAGACTCAATTACTCACAGTTAACATATATAATGGGATTAGAATACATCAGCTAGTACCCTGAGCAAATATTCTAAATTAAACTGGTATGATAGAGAATCATTTGTCCCTACAACAATGATGATGACTAAGGAACATATTTTGAAATATTTCATCATGGCACTGTGAAGATTGACAGGAAATATTAAAAAACAGGAAACTACTCAACCAGCCCCAGAAAACTCACATTTCTAGTTGGAAGAGGGACACAAGTCCAGTTGAAGCATTACATACAAATTACAGCATCCAGTTACTCAGATCTTAACAGAACCTTCTATAATTTGAAAATCAAAATTAAGCATCTCTGTAATTCCTAACTTATTCATCTTTCCTTGCCTCCTTCATTGCTTTTTTGTCACCTTTATTGGTAAGGTCACTTCCAACAGCTTGGTTGAAAATGGCATCATAATAAACTCTCAGGAAGTTCACTTGGCATAGCAAGCTTCTCTGTTTAATATCCACTCATTAAAAGCAGAATAAAAACTGACAGTGACTAATTTGTGCTCCAGCTAATCCTCCTCACACATCTTGAGGATTGCTGTTACGACGTAGAGCTTTTCCACTCTGCATTTGGTCATTTTGGACTGACCTTGTTGTGGTAAATGCAGTCTGCTCCTTTTTGTCCTTTTCTCCATGAAAAAACTGCCTGGCTGTCCCTTCTGCTTACCCTTGCTTCCTGCTGCCTGGTGATCTGTGACCATACCATCTGACTCTCCAAAAATACCATCGACACGATGCCAGGGATCCCGCGGCCGTTGATTTGACTGGATGGATCTTGGGGTAGGGAAAGTCACACCAACATCTCGAGTGTTTTTCTTCGTTGCACCATTCACAATCTCCAAGTCTCCTGTAGTTCAAAGTGAAGCAGTAATACCTTACTCTAAAGCAGCTACAAGTACTTCAGCAGCAACACCACAGCGCAGAGGGCGGCCTTCAATTCCTACTTTGAAGCTCAAGGGTCGCCTTCTTTACCTCCTTTCAAAAGGCAAAATCTTTTATATTTCCACTTTAAGTTTAGTGCAAGTCTACAGTTACTTAAGATTGTTACTATATGTAATAACCCAGGTATAATTGAAGAGGTGTGAACTTAGTCCCTCAGGCAAAACACTGAGTGTGTATACATACACACACACACACATAGGGGTGTGGGAGCCAAACCAACTGTACTCCTTGCTGGGGACCTGAGCACAGGTCTGAAAAACCAACTTCCAACCTGTTGCTGAAAGACACAGTGGCAGGAATAAATACAGCTTTACATTCAGGCCAAGAGAACTGCAGTTTTATCTAGACCTGATCAGGATGAGCTTAAATTTGAAATAGGATATAACATCCAAAATATTACTGAGAGGAATATGAAATCCTGCAGTTGCAAGCCTTCTGAAATAGCATATGCCCACAAAATACATTCTGTGAGCAACAGATGCCTTGCAGAGAAAACAACGTATTAAAAAAAAAAAATAGAATTAGTCCACCTTTACAATTTAAATGGATAAGTTTAGGTTAACAAAGCATAACAGTGAGAGAGAGAGAGCTGGCTACTAGTAAAGCAGGCCAAAGGGCTCATTTTAATTAGAACATAACATCTTTCTCTAAGTGTTTGAAGTGAATTTAAAGAATGCTGCACGCTCATCCCCACCACAGGAAACTTAAACCAGATGTTGGCAAAGGGTTTCCAAAGAGACAAAAAGAAGCCAGCACACAAACTATGAGTTTGGAACCCAACAACTCACCTGCTTGGATACCTTTGTTTAACATCCGTGCACATCGCTTGTTGCTGAGAGCTGAGCTTGGTCCCCAGGAACCACTGCTTGTCAAAGCTTGATCCAATGCCTTCTAGAGGGGGAGAAAGAACAAACATGGAAGAGAGCAAACTCCTGAAAACAGAATTGAAATGAACAGAATGTGGGGTTTAAACAGCAAGGAAGTTGTCATCGCTCTTTATTTACTGTACCTTGAGACTAGTATTATTGGGGTTGGAGCTTCATGATCCTTGAGGTCCCTTCCAACCCTGGCCATTCTGTGATTATTAACAAGGTTTAACACAGGCTGATCAGTGTCACTTATTGCTGTGCCACATAACAGCCAGCCTTCGTCTCATCCTCGTGCACCAATATACTTCCAGAACCCTGTTCTAGTACAAAGAGTGGCACAGTGCCTGTAGGCAAGAGCTTGCTCGTGATCGCACTCTGTACAGTGCTGGGCATCCTCCAGTTCTCTCACCCAAAGCTCAAGGATAAGTGTGGCAAATCAAGACAACCCCTTTGCTACAGCAAGATCTGTTGGCTGTACTTTCAGGACAGATCACAAAGTGCAAAGTATTTCTGCTGTGGGAAGAGGGAGAAGAACCATCTGAACTGAATCCTATATTCCCACCCTCTCATACCAAAAGCCTTTAAAGGTTGTGGGACTGCTGCAGGGACAAGATGTCTTAGAAAAGTAACATGCTGCTTTGCAAATTCACTGTGAACTCCAGTTCTGCAACACTGGAGTGACAGAGCCAAATCCTTTCAAAGCACGAGAAGTTCTCTCACCCTTATAATCCTCAGCACACCAGTTCTCCAGGCAGAGAAAACTGAGCCCAAGGAAAGCAAGAGGCATGGGGTTCACAGTAAGAGCACGGCTTAAGCACAATGCTAGTTTCAAGTCTTCAGCATTCATACAAACAGGAGATTCAGAAGGAAGTTTTTCACCCAGAGGGTGGTGAAGCACTGGAACAGGTTGCCCAAGGAGGCTGTGGATGCCCCATCCCTGCAGGCATTCCAGGCCAGGCTGGATGTGGCTCTGGGCAGCCTGGTCTGCTGGTTGGTGACCCTGCACACAGCAGGGGGTTGGAACTGGATGAGCACTGTGCTCCTTTGCAACCCAGGCCATTCTATGAGTCTATATGATTCCAGCCACAAAGACAGTAAGCAGCAGGACTTTGTTACAATAAATTAGCTTCCATTTTACGATGTAATGTTACAGACATGTCAGATGGATTGCACTCTGCATTGCATCTGCTCTACGAGCTTCTTCGTTTATATAAAGCACAGAGAACGCTAATGCTTTATTAACAGCAATTAACTGATAGAGTTTCCCCAGGCTTCAAGCCCAGCGGCGCGGCACAGACCAATCTCTGCAACTTGGCTGAATTTCATTTTTAATTATGAAACAGATCTTCCTTTTTCTTTTTTTTGCTTGCTCCTAGCAATTAGTATCCTATTAGCAACTCATAGCGCCAGCCACAATGGAAATGAACAGAGGCTTTTTAATTACCTTTTTATTGATCCTCTGCTATCATCCCTTCAATGCAACACAGTTTCAACGTTTAAAGGAGGCAATTTTTACTCTCCCACATGCTGACAAGGGCTGTTTTTTAGTTTCATAAAACTATTAGAGCTCTGATAGAGCACACCAGACAGACACAGGAGATACACATCTCCTTTCAGAGAACGGATTTCAATGTGCTCTCAAAAGGGGAAGACACTGTGAAGTTAAAAATGAGATAACCCATTTACATGCACATGCATATCAGCCTGCAGAAATAAATGTAAGCAGCAATTTGGTACTGAATACTGACGTGCATGTTGCTATTTGGACTAGAAAACTCAGTGCAGTGCTTTCAAAGCCCTTCAGCAGTTATATAGCACAACCTTTAGCTTTGTACCTGCTACCAGATGGCAGCTCGAAGACTGTTTTAGAAATAAACAGAAACTGGAAGAGAGAAAAACCTTCTGGGATGGGTTCAGCATCTATAAATAAATATAAAAAAAAAAAGCTGCAGTTGAGTTTGCCAGAAGCAGAGCTGACAATAGGCGCCCAAAAAAACAGAGCACTTGTCTGAAAGATTTGTACAGTAGTGTCTCTGGGAATAGGGCTCCTGCTATAAATAAGTTATCTGAACCACAGATACATGAAACCAAAAATCATCTTGATTTCTGCAGCGTATCATTGAATCTACCTACACTTGGATTTTAAAACAAAGTTTGCGTTTGGCCATTGATTTTGTCTCATCTTTACTTGAGGTGGGTCACATCTCTTCACACACCACATCATCAGATCATAGAGACACAGAATGGCCTGGGTTGAAAAGGAGCACAATGAACATCTGGTTTCAACTCCCTGCTATGTGCAGGGTCACCAACCAGCAGCCCAGGCTGCCCAGAGCCACATCCAGCCTGGCCTTGAATGCCTGCAGGCATGATAAAAGATACTGCTTTCAGAATCAATGCAACCTTAAGCTCACTGTTCCCAGTCCTTTAATTCTCATTTAGGAATGACTGGAACCTGTTATCTCACGGGTGATTTTAGCAGCCAAAGATTAGAGGCTGCTTTTAAGGTCCAACCAGGCACTGAATGATTAGTCTTAACACACGCAATGGAATAAAATCATATTTGAAACAATTCTTAGCCTTGAAAAATCCCATTTTCCCTCAGATGTCTATTCAATACCTCAACACAAGAGTTTTAGCTGTTGGTATACAGGAAAACTATATTTTTCCAGGAAATACATTACTAACAGAGGCATTATCACTTTCTTCTGTCAAAATGTGAAGCAAGCTATTTCCTAGTCTCAGTATCAACATCCATTACAGAACACCAACACTTATTAATGCAATCATCAAATCCATAACAAGGGAGCGTATAAAGAGGAGGGGAAAGGGCTGTTTATGAGGTGGCTGGTGATAGGACAAGGGGGAATGGCTTCAAACTGAGACAGGGGAGGTTTAGGTTGGATATTAGGAGGAAGTTTTTCACACAGAGGATGGTAATGCACTGGAACAGGTTGCCCAAGGAGGCTGTGGATGCCCCATCCCTGCAGGCATTCAAGGCCAGGCTGGATGTGGCTCTGGGCAGCCTGGTCTGCTGGTTGGTGACCCTGCACACAGCAGGGGGTTGGAACTGGATGAGCATTGTGCTCATTTTCAACCCAGGCCATTCTATGAAGGTCCCCTTTCAGGAGAATTCATTTCCTCTAAGGGGCCACAGAAAAACTCAACCAAAGTCGTCTTTCCTCAGCTCTGAAACAGTTTTATGGCTGAGTTTTTGTCTAAAATGCTCAGGGCAAAGGCTTTCTTTTGATATGCTTAAACTGCCAAATGTTTTAGTGAGAAATATTGGTGATAGGTGGACAGATGGACTGGATGACCTTAGAGGTCTTTTCTCTCCCTGGTGATTCCATAATTCTACCATACAAGCAACATTTTACAGGAAATTTTAAGTGATTCTCCAAACAACAAACCTTATTCCTGTGCAGTTTAAGAGCAGTTGTGAAGATGAGTCAAAATTGTCTTTTAGTGTACATACCTGGGTCTGTTTCCTGTGTCTCTCAGAAGTAACCTCTGCATGTTCTACACCCCTCGCTCTGCTGCCTTCCTCCTCCCACTTTTCAGAGCGGCTTTTCTGGTGGTGGATGGTACGATAAAGCTGGGAGAGTCTTGGTGACAGCTGCACTCTTCTGTGCCCAAAAGCCCTGACCAGTCTGGCAGTGTCAATGGTGGAAACAGAACTGCTCACCTCAGTCTGAGTTGTAGTTTCTATGTCCGTTTGTGTTACTGCATCTGACTCTGAGATGGTGGAACTGATTGTGGTGCAGAGTTCTTTACTAAGCCTTCTCTCTGAGCAAGTGTCACTAGAAGTGTCCAAATACTGGTGTTCTGAAATTTCATTAGTGTGGCAGGTAACTTTCTCTCCTGACCTATTTTTTTTAAGCTCAACAAAGCTTCTTGCACGACAGCTGATACGTGGCCTCCCTTTAACACGTGCTGCATGGGGCTCCAAGTTACTTTCAGGCACGCTCTTCTCCAGCACTCTTGTTTTCTCCTGCTCTTTTACCTCTCTTGGTTTTTCAGAAGCATTCCTTTCTGATTTTGCTGGTGGCAGTGTGTACCTGATGGGGTTCTGAAGGACCCTGGCTAATCGATCGAGGCGTTCAACAAGGCTCAGCTCACCTTTACGCCGAAAATCCTGCTGCTGGTACCTCTTCTGGCGCTCCAAAAACTGAACCCAGAGCTCATCTAAGCTACCAGCAGAATGGGTTCTCTGTCTCACGGGCAGGTCTTTAACTACATTCTCACAAAGGTGACTCGTTTGACTACGAGCTGCCATTTGTTCTGCTTCTCTCCCACCCCGCTGAAGCAACTCCTCTCTTGGGGTTTCATTACTCAAAGATGTATCGATGTTTAGATCCTCGTTCTTGCTGTGATCTGCTTCTGCAACGAGTGGGAAGAATTCACGGTCGCCATCTTTCTTCCGGTGGGCAGACAAAACACGTCTCTGTCGATGTGCCTTCCTCCAATTCTGAAGGACAGTGCTGGAGGAAATTCCAGTGTGTCCCACATCAGAAGAGTCCTCCGAGAGCTCGCTGTGGGATAAGAGGGGCACTGGATGGTGGAGGTAGAACTGTGCAGACTTGAAGACTGACTGAGCGGTGTTCACTGACTTTAAATGATGACTTCCTTCTAGAAGAGAAGAAAACCCCTTAATTTTGGTCCTTTGCAGGGCAGCAAAGGGCAATTCTTAAACAGGGTCATTCTCATCCTAACACTCCCATTCTCAACTAACTTTTCTATCATTTGCAGTAAGGAATCCAAGAGAATGCTGAACTTACTTACCCAGATCAAAATTTGGTCAAAGCCATCATTTATATTCATGGAAACTCAAGACAATCAACCACAACTCAGCGTGCCTTTCAGATAAATGCCCAGGATGTACAAGTGTTGCCAAAGGCTCTGCTTAAGCATTATTTCTTAAGTAATTCAGAGCAACACAACGTATAAAACAACCAACACCACCTCCTCTACAGCTCTGGAAGCTTCTCTGATAGGATACCAGCATTTAGCTCTGCTTTGCTCTCAAGCTCAGTTAACACATTATAGCTAGCAGTAGTGAATTCCCTCCCCAGAAGATGCTGCTACCTGAAATTACAGAGGACTACATGCAGAAATCCAATTATAAACCCATTTTAAAAGATATACATTAAGCATGCATGCAGTACATACTAGCAGAGAAGTACTCCAAGCCAATTTTAAAGCCATTTGCTATAAACTGTAAAAGCCATGACATTTTAATAACAGGAAAAATGTTTCATGTTATGTCCTTAGCACAACAGACTAAGTTGTATAATGATCCAAAAAGAAAGTAGGAACAATAGCTGCTAGTGCCAGAACAGCTTCTCAAGCCCCTCTGCTTCCTGCAATGTTATTTCATGCCATATGAGCCACGCACAGCTTAAAAATGCATTATAAAGTACTAACAGCTTTAATTCAAAAAGTTAATAGAAAACAGAATAGTCCATTTACTAATGGTAATGCCAGTGATTAGGTAATGGTGAGCTGTCAGCAAATGCATATCAAGCTCCATCACTGGCATAAGTTACCCCCAGTTTACCTTTTCCTTCACTACCATTTCTAACTCTCCCTCCTGCTGCTCTCAAATGTTTGGTTGCTGGTTCCAGCAATCTTCTCTTGTTTTACTCCTCCTGCAATTGTAGCAAAAACACTGAACAGGAACCCAAGTCTTCTTCTATTTTAAGCAAGCTTTGCCACTGAGTCAGCAAGATTCCCAAAGCTGAGCTTCTCCCTGTTCCCCTGAGAAACACACCTGCCTGTCTTACCAAGAATCACAGCCTTTCGTTTTACAAAACCTCAGTTCTATGTGGACAACAGCATGGCCAGACCCAATCTCATGTTCTGGGGTTAAACTGCATTTAAACAGCACAGCATGTGGATGCCCCATCCCTGCAGGCATTCAAGGCCAGGCTGGATGTGGCTCTGGGCAGCCTGGGCTGCTGGTTGCTGACCGTGCACACAGCAGGGGTTGGAACTGGATGAGCATTGTGCTCCTTTGCAACCCAGGCCATTCTGTGATTCCATGTAGCCAACTGATCACAAGAGATCATTTCCTTCCAGTGTAGTTTTCAATACCCATGTGGCTTCAGTAGTTGGTTTTTCCTCCTGTGCTATCTGTGGAGGACAGAGCTAGTGAAGGCTGTTAGGAATGCTTGTTTTAGGTACCAATGCTGAGCTGGTTTCCTTGCTTGCTTTGCTTACATTTGCATTGTTTTAACTTATTGCTTGGAGAGGAGAAGGCTCTGGGGAGACTTCATTGTGGTCCTGCAATATTTGAAAGGAGCGTATAAACAGGAGGAGGTGGGTGGCGATAGGGCAAGGGGGAATGGTTGTAAACTGAGACAGGGGAGGTTTAGGTTGGATATTAGGAGGAAGTTTTTCACTCAGAGGGTGGTGAGGCACTGGAACAGGTTGCCCAAGGAGGCTGTGGATGCCCCATCCCTGCAGGCATTCAAGGCCAGGCTGGATGTGGCTCTGGGCAGCCTGGGCTGCTGGTTGGTGACCCTGCACACAGCAGGGGTTGGAACTGGATGAGCACTGTGCTCCTTTGCAACCCAGGCCATGCTGTGATTCTATGATCCTCTTGACTAATGAGGTTAGACTTGGGAATACTATGCAGATTTTTTGCTATTTCTGTAGTTTTAACAACAAAACAGAAGGAATGCAAACATCCAAAAAATAAAACCAAGTTCATACAGATAAACTTTTTTAAAAAACAAATACATAACTTGCATAAATTTAAGCTCTAGACAAGCACTGTGGGTAGAGGTAATCTTTTATTAGACCTGCTAAAAATATAGTTGAAAGAGTCTGAAGATGTTAAAAATGCAGGTTTTCCTTCAGAAAGCCTTCTGAAGCTTCCAGCTGTACTGTTTTAACAAAAGACCATTTCTACTTACAGCTCTTTTATTTACTTGTGTTTTGAGAATATCACTGCTACAGAAAAATCAAGTTAATTTTATATTAATAGCTGTGTTCCCCTCTCATTTCTATCCAGGCTGTTCAGACATTTATTGCTATTCCAACACAGTATTTTGTTTCCTGCTGCAGAAACTCATTTGGAAAGCTCCCTTCTATCCACACACTGTCCCTCCATTTCTACCACCATGACCCAAATGAATCATTTTCTCTTTTTGGGCTCCCCAGAAATAATGTGTGGGACTGCCTATAAGATTAAGAACTCTGTCATTCAGAATCCATTATGCCATCCATCATTAACAGCCATAATTACACTGCCTTCTAGCAACCTGCTCACTCTGTTTAATTCAGCAAGTGCTGCTGCAAGCACTGGACTGTGCACAATAAGCACCTTCCCTTATAACTCACAGCTTTATCTAGAAGAGATGGCAATGAATATGCCATTTTCTTTTTACAGTTCTTTCTGTTCAGGAAGGATACAATTCACAAACTCAACCAAAAAAAAAAAAAAACCCTCATCCCAACTCATTCATGGCAAAATTCAAAAACCACTGGATGAGATTCAGTAGAGAAGCGTTCATCAGGATTAATTTTAATTATTATCATGAGACACCACACAAAATTGTCATTTAGCTCAGTGTAATTTCATTTTGTCAGCGTTCCAGCAGTGCAAGCTTGCCTTAAAGTAGGCTGCTAGAGTATCAAAACTGACCTTCATCCCTCAGGAGCACCATTCAACAAGGTTAATGGAGGAAAAGAAGAAAGAGACAGTCAAATCCAATTAAAACTGAGTAAAACACAATTGTTACAGAGAAACACTGCGATCTTGTGATGTCACAAAGTATCTGTGAGAAGGAACAAACCTCCTATCCAATATACAGATACACTCCATGGGCTCTTATTTACCAAGGAATTTCTGTTGTGCATCCTTTCCACACTTAGCACTTTAAAGAGTGCCAGCATAAGACCAAAAAAATCACATAGCTTATATGTTCTTATTTATTTTATATGTGTGAGAAGGCATGTTAGAAAAGCTACCTGGAGCACCTTCCTGTGCTGTCATTTGCTCTTCAGCCCAGGCAAGCTTGGGCTTGGCTCTCTTACAGCAGACTCCCTCTTTATGTTTGATAGCTGTAGTGTCTGGAGGCTTATCATCCTGTACACCAAGCACATCTGCTGGAAGCCCCGAGGGAAGAGCATCATTTGATCCTGCAGAAAAAAAAGAGAGCAATAATTACAAGTAAAAAGAGGAAACAGGAAAAATAGAGACAAATCTTACAGCAAAGTTGTCTGAAAGAAATCCCGTTACACAAGTATGAGTGCAACATCTTCAGAAATCAGCCATCGTGATACCTAGAGAGCAGTTCTAATAAAGCAGTGGGTGCTGCAACGTTGTTTTCCATGAATTTTGGCGACAGGGCTCTTCTGTGAAACACAGGTAAGTTTTACCTACCCCACTAATGGGAAGGAAAGAACACAGGAAAATTTTAGCATCAGACAAGTTGCTAGGAAGGCAGATGAAGGACTTCAGACTCCTGCTCAAACTCAAATTCCACACATCTTCACTGACTGATGTAAATGTGCATTTTCTGAGCTTTGAATAGCAAAGGACTACAAGACCAGAGTCTTGCATAACCTCTAAACAAGAATTCAAGACAACAGCAGCAGAGTTCTCTTAGTACTGCTGTCTCCTAACGTTGGAAACCTAAGATGGCCCCTAACTGATTTATCATTCTTGTCAACACCACCTGCTTACAAACAGCAGACTTCACTCAATTTCCTTCAGCTGCTACTCAGAGCTGAGAATCCAAGCTGCAGCAGGGAGCTTCAAAACAACTCCATATTTATTTTAATTCCTCTGTACACTTTCTAGAACCTTGCACCATCTCATACGCGTGTTGGATTTTTATAGCTAGCATCTCACATTCTGCAAAACAACAGACTCACATCACGTTTGTTTCTCTCCTTTTAACCATATTACAACAGCAACACTACAGAGGGGTAATGAGCAGAGACATAATCACAAGCATAACCTGTGGCTACAACAGCTAATCTGTGCACCTACCATCGCTGCTGCACCAACCTCTTTCCCTGAAGGGCATCAGATAGGAGCTGGACAGCTTTGTAATATTAATTTTGGCTACAAATGGTTTTGTATATCAAAAAGGTCTGCCTGAAAACAATGCAAGTCCTGTAAGCCTTAAGCAATGTGGTTGTTACATATACAGGACTAAGAAACAAGAGGTAAAGCAGAAATTGATTAATCCCAGCTGATCCTTTTTGTCACAAGTGCTTTTTACAGGGAGATGTGTGGATGGGGGAAAGAGACGAGTGCTTATTTTAAATCACAATTACAAATTACTTTGTTTATAGAAGCAGTTTCTACAGTGAAATCTCCTAACGTGGAGGACAGAAATTCAGTCCTGAGAAAGCTGTTGCTGGAAATAAACCCCAGCCATCGCATTTAGGAAACCTAAGGTAAGTAAGTGCTTGAGTAAAAGCTCTCACCGCTCTTTTCTGATCCAAGTGAAGAAATTTTGGCTCCTGTTTTTTGATAAGGAACATAATACATCTCGGTACTTCCAGAAGGTTTATATGGCAGCAGTAATGGCTGACCTGCTGGGGTGGAAAGCAAAGCAATTAACAGAAGTCAGGATTCCATTCTTGAATGCGACTGATGATAAAAGCTACAAAAAGGAACGGAATCGTTCACAGCAGTAAATCTGGAGAAACAGCTCATTCTTCAGGAAAGCAAACTGATAAAAGACTGACTGCCAATTAGACTGGCAAAGTAGCTTACTTGCAACTCATATGCCCACACAGCCTCCACTGACCCATGCTTAATGAAATAATTTTAAGTGAATATGGGTATCTGGCTCTCAAGACAAGAAATACGGCGTGTCATCAGAACATCAGCAAATGTTTGGACTATAATATTAGCTGACTTCTGACAGAGAAGAAAATGAGTGATGAAATAGCTGACACATTTGTGTATTCTGTTGTAATTAAGTAATTAGTTCTCAACTCGTTATTTTAAACACCTTGAGTACAGAGACAGAAAGAAAGCCTGGATTACAGAAAAAAATACATCTACATGTATCAGTACTACAAAACAGCAACATGGAAAGAACACTGGAACATCCATATTCAACTCTGTGAAAGGGTAGATAACAGCAGGACAAGGGGAAATGGTTTGAAGTTGAAGGAGGGAAGATTTAGGTTGGAAGTGAGGGGGAAGCTCTTGACAGAGAGAGTGGTGAGGTGCTGGAACAGCTGCCCAGAGAGGCTGTGATGCCCCGTCCATCCCTGGAGGTGTTCAAGGCCAGGTTGTTTGGGGCCCTGGGCAGCCTGGGCTGCTATGAAATGTGGAGGTTGAAGCCCTGCATGTGGTGGGGGGTTGGAGCTTGATGATCCTTGAGGTCCCTTGAACCCAAGCCATTCAATGATAATATGATTCACATTCCTCCAGCAACAGACTTTAAAATCCCTGCACATTCTCTTTTGTTCTATGCATCTTATTCCAGAATAGCAATGCTCACCCTTCCCTCTTTGCTTCCATACTACTTTGATTAGAGAATCTATCAGTAATCAGACACAGCCCTTGGTAAGCTGTAAGCACTGACCCATATCAGTCATCTAAAACTGTAAAACCATACAACTTTCCTGACCCATGCCCACCTCCAACAGATTCAGTTTCAAATTAAGTTGAACTGAACCACAACCGTATGGATACAGCTCCCTACAAGCAAGAATGCAAACTTCAAGGGTTCGTTTCATATGAACTTCAAATATCAACATTAGAATCATCTCCAGACTGTGACTTCCACAAAAAGTTTGGGTTTTTTGTTCTGTTTGTATGGTTGGTTTTTAGTACCCATCAATACTTCGCAGTTGAACAGATGCAAAACAACACAGGAATACATGACACTGATTTGCTCACCACCCTGCCTTGGGAAAGAGGAAGTCCTGTTAAGAGATGAAGTTGTATTTTGGGGAAATTCTTTTGCTTTCTGGATTGAAGACTGATGGGCAGAACTTTCAGGGTCTTGTGAATTAACATAGATCTCTGCCGAGAAGGTTGTTTTTCCAGGGCTTTCTGTGATCTGAGTGGTAGCATCAGAAGTGCTTTTCCTGCTTTTTGCAGGATCTGTGCAGTTGCAGATATTCTTCAGACTACAACCACCTGAATTCACAGCCTGCAGTTTCTCACTGCCATGCAAAGGCAGCTCCTGCCCTGCAGTGCTTGGAACAGAGGAAAACGCCAGGCAGGGCTCTGCTGAAGGCACTGGGAAAGATGAGCATCTCTGATCTTCTGGAATAAGCTTAGCAGTGGGTAATTTAGGAACAGCTTCTAATAAAGTTTTTGGAGATTTTAAAGGCACTGGTTGAGAATTCACTTCAAGTTTGTCCCCCAGTCTCATCTCATTTTCAGTATTCAAGTCCCTGTGTGGCTCTGAGTTATTACATTTTGGGGAAAGAGTGATGTGGACGCAAGACAGTACTTTCTTAACTGGTGATGAAGGAGACATGGTGGATAAAATCTCATCTGGAGATGAATGCTGAGACGCACCAATTTGCTCTCCACCAACTTCTTCCTGAATGAGAGGCACTGCATCAGAAGGACTTTTCTCTTCTTCCAACAGCTTCCCACGGTCCTTTGGCAAATCAGTCTGTGTGGCTGGATCAGAACCTTCAAAGCTCTCACATAATTGGACATGGCTGGTAGGGCTGCTTTTCTCCTGTTGGTAAGAGCTTATAGAATGGGGCTCATGAAGGCCCTTCATCCCTTGACTGAATTTTCTATCGCAGTCAAGCCCCAGAAGTCTGGCGCCATGCCTGCCCAATTCAGTCACATCTTGAGACAGAGCGTCAAGATTTTTTGCACTGGGAGTCTGTCTCTCATCAGCATAGACGGCTACAGACTCCCGATCTGACAAACAGTCTGTTTCTTGATAAGCTCCATCTCTGTTACCGTCAGGAGAGACATCACGAATCGTGTCTTTGTCAGCAGGAAATGCAATTTCATCAGATGGTGAGCCAGCCAGAGCCGGACTTGAAGGAGGACAGATCTCAGATCTCTCCCAGTGCTTTTTGCCATGGCTCTGTTCCTCAGCAGTGGCTGAATCCGTCTCCAAAGGCATTATCTCATCAAGATCATCTCCACTAAAAAAGCCATCGAGTACCACGGAAGTCAACGGTGATGGAAAACGCCTTCGGGATGAAAAGGTGATGGATGTAATTTGCTTTGACATCTCTTCAGAGCACTTTGGAAAAGACAGCTTCTTCTGTGCTGGTGAAGGGACTTTTTCTGTCTGTGCATCAGAAGCAGCCGTAAAGCTCCTCACACGTGTGTCCTGCTGCTTCTGCAGTGGCAGATGAAGGCCAACACAGCCAGAATGGCTACTTGCAACCTGCCTGCAGGTAGGAGGTTCTGCAGTACTTAAGGAGTTAAGCTGGGTATTCTTCAGTAAACAACAGTCTGAAAGTTCAGCTCTATACAATGGCACAAAGTGTTGTAAGCTTGGCTTTAAAATCTCCTTAGTCCCCAAGGCTTGTGTGTGGCTGTCAGAATGAAATCTCTTGTCACTTGAAGCTCTGGAATGCTCTTTGTCTGCTTCCTGATTACAGCTATACAGAGAAGCAGCTTCTGAAATGTAACTCCGTGTACCCTGAAAAACACAGAAGATCTCATACAGGTTACATGGACAACTTCCTGCCCTCACCAAAGTCAGAATCTCAGAATTCAAAGAAAGAATAGAGCTACCAGTCATCAAAAGTCTGTACTACAAATAAGCACACACTTTTCTCTTGAATTTATTTCTTAATGCAACTAAGAAAATTGTTTTATTTTGCTTTGGAGTGCTAGCAAATTGGAAAACAGTTATTTTTGTTTACCAGTGAGCGATGCTGAGAAGTATCTACAGCCTCATTAGCCTGACAGAGACAGAACCTTTCAGTTTTACAACCTATAAAGCTGAGTTCTAGCTGTCACCTGTGTTGTTTTTTTATTGTGTCAAAGCATTCTACTTCTGGGCCTGCTTCATACACAGCTGACTTAGCATAAGCCCAGTTCACAAAATACCAGGAATAATGAATGCATATTTGTTCACTACGTTCAAATGGATTTAGAGACACACACGTATTTCCATAATCATCTTTCTTAATTAAAATAACGTATCAATTAGCTGCATGTTCACGGAAACATTTAGGTTAGAAGAGCCTGGAGGCCTCCAGTCCAATCTCCTGCTTTAAATAAAACTACCTTCAGCACTGGAACAGCATGCTGAGGGATTTATCATTCAGATTTCACAAATCTCTAAGGGGAGAGGTTTTATACACAACTCTACCTGCAGTCTTTACATTCCTGATGGAAGGCAACCTTCCATAGCTCCATGGAACACGTATGGAATGCAGTAACCCACATGCTTGCTTCCAGCCACAAGTAGTCAAACCTTAACCAAACACATGATGCTTAATGCTGGCAACCTCCAAGAAATCAGTTTGCAGACACATGCTAACAAACTCGGGTTTGGAGTAGAGCCCGACTCCATGCAATCAAAGCACTGTGCTGTGACATTTGAAGGTGACAGGAATAGTCCTGGATGTGACATTTTGCTATGCCCTACCACAATACAAAACAGTAATTTGTATAAAGGTTTTCTCTCAAATGGTTCAACTCCAGCATTCATGAACTGGAACTGAAGTGAAAGGAATTCTGTTACATGGGAACAAGAGGGAAGAAAAGAAAGGTGCTGTTTAGAAAGCACGAGAATGTTTAATTAGAAAAGCTTTAATTCTGCCTAATTGCTATTTCTCTTTTCCTGTAAAACAAGCATGCTAATTTCCCTTTCAGACAAGAACTGCAATAAGTCTTTTTATTTTTTCCATCACCACTCACAGCTGACAATTAAAATATGATTTAAAATAATCAGATCCTTCATTTGCTCTTCAAGGAAAGCGATGACTTGTAAAACCTCTCCCAGTTTCAGGTGCAAATTGTTTTCATGCTCCCATCAGAACAGACACATTTGCCACAAATATATATTGCCTGCTCATGGTCACGCAAGAAGCTGAAGCTAATAATTTACTTTTGTTCTAACTTCTTCCCTTGTTTTCTTGCCCAATTTCACTAAGCATCTGCAGCACAATCTCCAGTCCTCATTGCTTTGTATTCTCCTCCACCTCAAAGCTCATTGCCACCAACAGAACAGCCCCAACAGCAATAATTTATTGCAGCTAGTAAACCAAATCAAAGCAACGTAGGCTATAGTTTCACAGGAGAATCAGATTTAAAAAACAAACAAACAAACAACCATACCCTCCTTTTGGTATGCTTCTCACATGGTACTATTGCCTCCCAGCTACCTGTTGATGAGGCACACAGTTGTGTTGTGCTGCTGGCACTGCAGCTAATGGGAGAATTCCCAGCGTGTGCTTCTTGGTTATAGCCTCTGCTCTCAAAGGAAATGCTGCTGCTTTCTGGCATCTCAAAATGAAATCTGATTTCTCTGCATCTTCTTCAGATAAAGCATTACATATCCCAAACAGAGAGAGAAGGTATGAAGGGCTCAGCAGGTGGCTGTAAGGCCTTGAGAAACAACACAGAGACGTGTCCAAAGACATTGATGAAGTCTGAACATAATCTCAACATCATTACAAAGAGTGGTTACTAACAAAGAACGTTCATCACCTGCAGAGACCAGTAAGGTGGACAAACAAAACACGGCCCTCTCTCTGTGGCTGGTTCACATCTCTCACTGCCTGACTTCCTGCACCTTCTTCTCCCCATGGATCAAACAGGATGTAAGAATGGACACAGAATCCTAGAGTGGCCTGGGTTGAAAAGGAGCACAATGCTCATCCAGTTCCAACCCCCTGCTGTGTGCAGGGTCACCAACCAGCAGCCCAGGCTGCCCAGAGCCACATCCAGCCTGGCCTTGAATGCCTCCAGGCATGTGGGGCATCCACAGCCTCCTTGGGCAACCTGGAACAGTGCATCACCACCTTCTGGGTGAAAAACTTCCTCCTAATATCCAACTTAAACCTCCCCTGTCTCAGTTTGAAGCCATTCCCCCTTGTCCTGTCACCATCCACCCTCGTAAACAGAACAGGACAAAAGCAGCTCCAAAACGCTGGCAAAAGCAGAAGTTCACTTTCACAGCTAATAAATTACTGTCAACAGTGATCAAAAACCACATCAGACTTTGTCCTGAAGCAAACTAATGCAACTACTCACCTGACTTGCTATCTCTGCTCAGGTACAGGGAGGGCATGCCCAATGAGGGGCAGCAACAAGACAACAGGAACAGCCATTTTTGGAAGCAGCTGTAGCAGTTCCAGAGGGACCATTTCACTGCACACTGAGACTCCCCTCACCTAAAGAAATCTGACCTAAACCACATAACCTGAAAGAAATCTGACAGCCTATAGTTTAGGGGGAATTTCTTAAGTGTGGACACCATTTTATCAACTTATTGCTATCTGCACTTCCTTAATTTTACTGTCATTCAAAATTATAGGATTTTCACTGAGGTGCAGCCAGCCAATCTGAGCTAAGTGTACTGCCAGTGAGATGGTCCAGATGGGCTTATTTTAATTAAATATATACGTATATTTTTCCCCCCTATTGATTGGAACATCTGCTGAAACTGCAGAGTGTATTTCATTAATAAATTGCAACACAGATCATAGCATCCTAGAATGGCCTGGGTTGCAAAGGACCACAATGCTCATCTCATTCCAACCCCCTGCTGTGTGCAGGGTCACCAACCAGCAGCCCAGGCTGCCCAGAGCCACATCCAGCCTGGCCTTGAATGCCTCCAGGGATGAGGCATCCATTATTCTTCCAGAGCAGTGCATTTCTGTGGCTTTATCTATACTAAGCAAGTATTTTAGCTTATTTGAGCCCATGTATTTCTTGCAGCTGACAATGAGTAACCATAGAAGCACGCAAGGACAAAGATCAGCTGTGTGTCAGGGCAGGAGAGCTCCCTGGACAATCTCTTCCCTAAAACACATACCAGTTCAACTGCCTGAACGCAGCAACTCCTACTACCAAAAGTGACAGAAGTTGTGATAAACTCATCTACCCAAGCCTTTCACATGTTTTATTGTGCTCCTTATGTGTCATCTTTCCAAAAAAGATTTGTTTGGCATATGATCCACAAGAGAACGCGGCGCAAATTTACAGCTACAACTCAGTGAACTTCCTGGAAAAAAAAAGGAGGAATGGAAAAATACAGTGGAAGAATACAGCACCCAAGGGGAGAACACTTAGGTAGATCAAGGTACAGCCATATCAATACAGGTGGAGTTAAAAGATCCTAAATTTAGAGGGAGAAAACAGTGTTAAGTGTGTTAAAGGTTCACCCCAAAGCCCTCGGTCCAAACTGAGGGCCCCAAACGTACACAAAAGGCACAGGAAGGTTACACAGGCAGGACAATAGTCCTGAACAGAATGCTGCTTGTGAGTTTTTGGGTTGTTTCATCTGCCTACAGAAATAGAAATTATTCATCTAACATCATAGGCAGCTCCCTGCCTCCCTCCATCACAATGCTGTAAAGCTAAGCTTATAGAAAGTGCCATCAGAATATCCTGTGTGCCACAAGGCCCATCTCCAGACAGCCTAAAATGCAACTCTTCTTAGGCCCCTTCACATAACATTTGCAGTGAGTGCATCCTCATGCTTTTGCTCCTATGCTACTCTCCCAAAGCAGCCCAATGCACTGCACTTCCCCTCTCCTGGAGCAGCCAGTTACAAATCAACACTAAAATGGAGTCAGTACAAAACTTAGGAAAAAAGCCTGGTGTCAGAAGTTCCATGTTTGCCATCCATCCCTCAGCATCCCTCCAAAGTTTTAGTGGTCAATATAAAGGCATAACAGCATGAGTATTTCTCACCTAGTGTACAATGGGCAAGCTATAAAATCCATAGGACTCCTCCCCAGCGCAGGGTTTGTCAGTTTTACAGAAGAGAAAGCAAAGCAAACAATTCAGATTTTGAGTTACAGCCGTGAGAACTGCTTGCTATCCAAAATGCATCTTCAAAAGCAAATGCTGTTCTCGTGCTCCTGTTTGGGGGCAGCATTCGGTGCATGTTTGGAGCCTGCCTGCATGCATATGTCCCAATCACCTCCCTGAAACACTCAGCTCAGCCAGGACTTGAGAAATCACAGTGCTTTCTTTCTAGAGCATCTGTTATCTAACACATCAGAAGTGACAAACAGCAGACACTCAATACCCCAAAAGTACGATGGAACAATGTTTGAAGAACTCTCCCAAGCTGTCCTGCTCTTTCCTTGCACTTTATTTTTACAAGCAAGCTTCACAAGTTTCTTGCTAGAAACAATAAAACATCCTGGTGGTATATTATGCGAATTGTCGCCTGTAAAAATGAGAAGCAGAGCCTAAACTTTCTGAAAGGAACACTCATCGTAAGCCTGTATCAGAAGCACTAAATAAAGATGATGATCTGACAAAGGAATTGTTCATGTGAATGCTAGGAACAGGTTGCCTTTCAGAACCTTTCAAGTTTAGGAGAAGGAAAGTATCCTTTTATATTCCTTGTTTTGTTCGAGTCAACGCATTGTCAGCTTCACTCTGAATTCAGCAGGTGTTCTGCAGAACAGCATCCACTGAATTTACAGCAGATTATTTGGTCAGCAATCAAACTGGCTGCATTTTTTCCAGCTAAATAGTTTTCTTTCCAACAATCTATTTTTTCAGTGATACTGTTTTGCTCGGAGGAAAAAATCCGCTCGGATCTAATCTAGCATGGCAAAAAAAGAGCTACCTTCATTCTGCAAATTCAGAACTACTTTGGATTTCAAATTAAAGCTATTGTAAAACATTCCCAAGATCAAAGCAGAAAGCGTTGTGGTCGACCTAAAGTAATTTCTTGGAGGCTTGGTTCGCAAAAAACAAGATTCATTTTGTCTTGCTCTGAATTTGGTTAAAACAATGCACAGCCAACGTGGAGGCAGACAAGCAGAACTGCCCCAACCTTCTTTTTAATTATCCAGCCTCTCTTCCACTAACTCAGGGTTCTCTACCCTGAATAACATGAATAGATCATCCACCCCCTACTCATTTCATACAGTGTTTCACAGTCAGGGTAGCAAAGCACTGCAACAGATTGCTCAGAGAGGTGCCCCATCCCTGGAGACATTCAAGGTCAGGCTGGATGGGGCTCTGAGCACCTGATGGAGCTGGAGACATCCCTGTTCCCTGCAGGGGAGTTGGACTAGATGGCTTTTAAAGGTCCCATCCAACTCTAACCAATTCTAACCTAAAACCCAGACAGGAACTCAATGACCCAGGCCCAAAGAAGAAACAAACTCACCCACTCTCAATAGTTTGCATCTCTCTCCCTGCCTATCCATCTCTAAAAACGTTGCAAGAACACAATTCACCACTGTAAGCTGAAAGACTTCACCACTTAAAACACTTTTCTCCAGAGCAGCTGGTTTGTTTCCCTCCTACCTTGGCTTGTCCAGATCTCTTGGCACTCAGCAGCAGTTCTGCCTTTATTTCCTCTATCCTTTGTCGGTCCTCTTCATTCAAGTCCAACGCAGCTTCCTCAGATCGGCTGGCCAGCTTTAGTTTCACCCATGCTACACACAAAAATATCAGAACAGAAGGCAGATTGCTTTTCTTTTTATAATTTAACATCAAAAGCATGCTATACACTTCTAGTAGCCATGACAAAGGATATGAAGACCAGTATCAAACAGCTGTTTGAATATACAAAGCACACAGACAGACTAACCAAGAATATGATTTGAAAATGGAGCTTTTGAGGATTTATTTGTAAAGATGGCTCAAGGAACTACTGCCTGCTTGTGAGATGCTTACAGTCCTTGGCTCAAATCAACACTCTCTTACACAATCCCTTCCCAGTCACTTAACCTAGCACATTTCTAATGGCTGCGTGGATAAAACCACAGTATCAACACTGGCAAGAGAAGGTATTCAAATTAGTCGAGTAAAATGCTGTCCCATTCTATTATCACAGAGTCATAGAATGGCCAGGGTTGAAAAGGAACACGATGATCATCCAGTTCCAACCCACTGCTATGTGCAGGGTCACCAACCAGCAGACCAGGCTGCCCTGGAATGCCTGCAGGGATGGGGCATCCACAGCCTCCTTGGGCAACCTGTTCCAGTGCCTCACCACCCTCTGTGTGAAAAACTTCCTCCTAATATCCAACCTAAACCTTCCCTGTCTCAATTTACAGCCATTCCCCCTTGTCTTTCATAGGAAGACTAAAAGACATTGATCATTAAGCTTTGCCCCACTAAAGCTTCTCATCAACAACATAATGCAATATAAAGACCTTTCAAGCCAGTGGAACAGACTCAAATAACCTCAGAGGTTCTCCTATGATCATATTCCTTCATTTCAAAGGCATTTGAAAGCAATCTCTTAAACATATACCTAAACTGAAGGGTTCCCATTCTGATATAACATTTGCTAAAACACAGCTGAGCTGTTGTTACCTCGTGCTTTCCTCTCCTCTTCATCATCACTCCTCAGAATTGGTGTTGCAGGCACTAGAGATGATCCATTTCTCAGAAGGCTTTTAACGCGGGCAGACAGAGAGTCTGCACTGCTACTGCCATCGCTCTCTTGCACGCCTCCTGCCCTGCTTCCAGCTGCACTTGTTTTTGACAACATGCTCTGGAAGCCTCCTGGGACATTGGTGGTGCTGCATGAAGTCTCTGAAGGATTCCCCAGCAGGTTTTTGACACGGGCAACCAGTGAGTCCCCACTGCTACTGCCATCACTCTCTTGCACGCCTTCTGCTTTGCTTCCAGCTGCACTTGTTTTTGACATCATGCTTTGGAAGCCTCCTGAGATATCAGCAGTGCTGCCTACAGGCATCAAAGGACTCCCCAGAAGGTTTTTCACACGGGCAGCTAAAGAATCTCCACTGCTACTGCCACTGCTTTGTTGTATGCCTCCTGCCGTGCTTACAGCAACATTAGCTTTAGATAACTCGTTCTGGAAGCTTCCTGGCACATTGATGACACTTCCTCGAGGCTCTGATGGAGAGGGATTCTCCAACTCTGAAGGTCTTTCAGTGCTGAGCTCACTATTTGCACTGCTTCGTGCAACAGCCACAACAGCAGGTTGGTTTCTGTCTGTAGTTACACTGCTACAGCCTTCTGGCTCAGACCTTCCTACAGATTTTCCTGTCCTAAACTCTTCGGTCATCTCCACCACACCTTCACAACTACACAAACTGGCATCAAAAGAACATTCCCATTTTAAATCATCTTTGCAAGAATCCAGAGGCTTTGGTATCGATCCCTCTTGGATACTGCTTTGCTTCATACTCTCAGCCCATGACACGACCTTCTGAAACTGAGGGACGCTGTCTTTCACTAAGTCAGAATCCTTGGTGCCATCCTCCTTTTCAATCTGCACTGGAGAAGACTCAGTTTCTCTAGAAGATGCATTGGAAAAGACAGGGTCAGGCCAGCTGCCAGCTATGCTCTCTGCCTCTGCCAGAAGTTTACGTATTTCTTGCAATGCACGAGATCCAATCACAGAATCACTTTCTTGACCCTCATTTTTCTCACTCCCTGCACTTGAAGTTTGTGATCCTCTCTCCTTTTCATCTTTAACTCCAGCCAAAGAACTGACAGTCCATCTCTGTGAGCTTCCATTCACATCTTTCCATTCCTTTTTAGCTAGCAGATCCTGAACACTTTTTGCAACAAGCACGGGGCTCTCTCTGTTAGAATGGCAATCAAGTGAAACAGTCTGCAGGTGCTGGCTTGGCTCAGCTAGTTTGGAGACAGCTAAACATTCTGTCTCCACTTGCATGGAATGAGGAGCAGTTACCTCTACTTTGTGGCACGACACAGTGCACTGACTCATGGGTTTTTCTCCAAAAGGTAATGAGAAGCGGGGAGAGAGTTCTCTGGGTGAGAAAGTATCAGAACCAGTTTCCGAATTCATTGGAAGAGAAATGCTGACAGTGGAAGTGCCAGAGTTGAAACTCGTCTGTGTAACATCAACCGCTGCCAGCAACTCGCCTACAAAGAAACAGAAGATTGTTTTAAGTTGGAAGCTCTGGGATACAGGCACATCAGTAAAGACTCCTTTTTCTTGTACTAAAGAGCTTGTAGAGGGAAGGAAGAATTACAGATATTGGGACAACACTTCCATGAGAACAGTCTACAGAAAGCAAGCCGTTGGACCACAATAAAATCAAAGAGACAACAGAACTGGAGTTCAGTAACTTGCTTTTAAATAAATGGTGACCATATATTATAAATGTTCTTAGCTAAGTGACATCACGATGTCCTTATGTCTAAATGAACACTTGGATTATGAAAGAATCCCTGCAAGATATAAAAGCAATGTGGGACAGCATTTCCACAATGCTACATAGTGCAGGTAAATTTGTTTATTACAGCTGGTTAAAAAGAAGCAGACAGGATGAACATTTAGCATTCGGATATGTAATACCTAATTGCTCTAGAAATGAACTTAAGTGCAGTGTTCTTAACAGTACAGTGAACAGCCAGCTGCCAACAGCTGCCTGCTCCTTTTAAGCACTACTTTGTTTCACATCCCAGTCACTGACATCTTCAAGTACATTAAGTCGCCCAGTCAACTCTGCCCCTGAACCTATTGTCAGGTTGTTTCAGTCACCAAATCTCTGCTTAAAGGTGGAAATAATAACAGAAAATAAGCAAGCCCAACAGCCTTAAGAAAGATGCATTTAATCACTGCTGATCAGAAAGATGGGTCTGCACAGGGTATTCGGAAAGTCTGTTTAAAGACAGGCTTTTGTTGTAAAGAGGCTGCAGATCTTTTATTCCCCAGTGAATTGAAGGGGCAAATGCCAAACAATATGCCAAGGACTGCATTTTAAGTACTTGCAATACACATTTTAATAACATACTGTGTGGGCATGCTACAGAAGAACATCTTAACCTTAGCTTTTCTTCATATAGAAACAAGTCAACACTTCAGGTTGTATCCATATACTTCTTTGATGTTGAGATGGACTGATCAGTTCTATGTCTATAACTTCCTGTCACACTGAGAGAGCCCAGGAAGTCTCAAGAACAAAAAGAAATCAAGACTCGTTGCTCTCACAGGAACAAAAGGTCTGGTCACACAATCTTTACTAAGCATTTGCTTTATAAGAATTCTTGAGAAAAAAAATAATAAATGTAAACTGCCACTGCTCTGGCTAGAAGATGTCACAAACACCGAATTTCTTAGCAAAAAAGCACGTTTCCAAAGGTTTTAATCCTTATTTTTCCAATGCCAAAAATCTCACACCTCTGCTGGCTGAAGATCAAATAATGTGAATGAAACTGAAGCATCATAGAATGGCCTGGGTTGAAAAGGACCACGATGATCATCCAGTTCCAACCCACTGCTATGTGCAGGGTCACCAACCAGCTGCCCAGAGCCACATCCAGCCTGGCCTTGAATGCCTGCAGGGATGGGGCATCCACAGCCTCCTTGGGCAACCTGTTCCAGTGCCTCAGCACCCTCTGTGTGAAAGGAGAAGGAATGCATATCAAATCATAGGAGAAGAAACAGACTTGACACTGCCAGGCCAAGAACAATCTCAGAGCTATGTGCTGACTAAGATTTGCCCATCACAAGGCCTTCCTTACCCATACCTTGTGGCTGCTGAACGGTCCTTGTCAGTGTGTCAGTGGAGCCCTTCAGTGTCCTGAGATCTGAAGGGGAAAATTCAACTTCCCTCATTGGTCCTCGGGGTACAAAAGGAGTCAGTATGGTCCCAGGCGACTGGTCGATGCCAAGGTTGCGAAGGTAGATCTGGCAAAAGGAAACACACTGCATTCTTAAGAACGTCAATCAATTCTGAAGCTGCACAAGTTTTTCCCATCCTCAGAATAGTTTGGTTGGAAGGGATCTTCAAAGACTGAGTTCAACTGCCTGACTGCTTCCAGAAAACCAAAAGCAGAAATCAGGCACCACTCACCTTTCCAGGAAGCTCATTCCAGTGTTTGACCACCCTCACCTTAAGAAATGCTTCTTAGTATCAAGTACAGACCTCGATAATCTTAGTGCTGCTTGTGCTATTCCCACATGTCCTGTCATTGGTACCCAGACTGACTGGCACCTTCCTTCACTTCCCCTCCCAGGTCCAGCACTGCAGCCTCTCATTTCCCAGTGTCTGTATCCAGCACTGCTCCTTCCCATGTGCATCACATACTGTTTGCCCTCATTGAATTTCACGTAAGAGCATGGAACAACCATCAACAAATCAGATCCCTCTGCAATGCCTCTTCCCCTCCAGGGAGTCAAGAGCACCTCTCAGTTTAGTACTGGCAGGCAACTTGCTGAGGATGCACTTCACTCCAGCATCCAGGATCACTGATAAAAGCACTGAATGGCATTGGCCCTAGAACTGAGACCTTGGGAACACCACTAGCCAGATGTGGCCTCATTCCCTGTAAGACTTTGACCTCTGCCATTCAGTCAGTTCATCACCAAGTATTGCACGAACCTCTTCATCTCACAGCTGGACAATCTGTTCAGAAGGACACTGTGAGGGTCAGCATCAAAGGCTTTACTTAGATCCAGACATTACATGCACTCTCTTCTTTCACCCACCAAGCAAGCAACCTTTTCATGGAAGAACAAATCACCAAGGCAGGACCTTCCCCTCACAAACCCATGCTGACTACACCTGATAATACCTTTGTTCTTTAAATGCCTTTCTATGCCCCCAGGACAATCTTCTCCATAACTTTTCCTGGCAGAGGTTACACTAAGAGGTCTGCAGTTTCCTGCCCCACACACAGTCCTTCAACTCAGAAATCAGAGCAGACCAAAAAATCCACCTTTACTACCAAAAACTGAGGCCAAGACAACATTAAATGCCTCCACCTCTTCCTCATTCTTACTCCTCAGGAGAACATCCTCAAGCAGATGTTTCTCTTAGACCTTCTCTTGCCATTACATACTTTCAAAAGTTTTTTTGCATTGTTGTCTGACACCACTTTGACCAGTGGGGAGTCAATCTGGGCTTTGGCTTTTCTCGTTTCCTCCCTGCAGATGCTGCAGCTCTGTGCCCTCCCTGTGAAGCCTGACCTTGCCCTCAAGTAATTTCTTCTCCTGCTGCAGCTCCAAGGAATTCCCTGTTCAGCCAGACCTGCTTTCTGCCCCATTGGCTTGACTTGCAGTGGAGTGGAACTGCAGGCTCCTGGGCTTTTCAAAGGTGGCTCTTGAAAGGCAGCCAGCACTCATGTACCTCTAATCTCAATACAGCAGACTATAGATCTCCACCAACTATTTCCTATGATTATTTTTTTTTTAAACTAAACACACATATATAAGCTTATAATGGGTGACCTAATCTCTTTTACTTTGTCAGTGGTTTATGAGAACAGAATTCCTCACAATTAGGGCTGGAGAACATGCCTCATTATATTCATTAAAAATGGAGGTAACAGATAATCATTATATTTCATCAGTACTACTTCAAATATCCTTATCACAATATTTGTAGTTATTTCAATGCATGTTTTCTGAGACAACTCAGAGAAGAGTGCTTCTACAACACAGTTCCTAAGACCTAATGATTACAGGAGTCATCTTCTGAGAGGAGCAGCCACTTACTCAGAAGATAATTACATGTTTATCATTAATATAAATCTGCATTTGATTTTCTCCAACATTCAACAGCTATTAGAAGTTCACATGGCTGCCACAATCTGCCCTCCGTTCTCACCAAATATCCTCAAAAGGGGAAAGGGAAAAGGAAATCTGCATCAGGCACATAAGATAGAACGGAGAAAAGGCATGCAGAAGCTTTGAATACCTTTCAAGAGCAGCATGAAAGAATCAGGAATTTATGTCTTAGGTACTGGAACAAAGTGAACAAGCAAGAGTATTTATAGGAAAAAGGCAATTTAATTTGCCAACGAGCTCCGTGTTGGTTTTGCTATTATTGCAGATCTGTGGGCGTGTGAAGTTCAGCTCCCTCTTGTGCAGCCTAACATTTCCTTAGTCAGCATTTGAGTCTCAGCTTCGTGTTTGGATAATTATATCCTGATCATATGAAAGAAGCTGGAAGATTAGAAAAGGCTGATCAATGCTCTGCTAAAAGAGCTGTAAGCATCTTACTTACAAGTCTTTGTATCAAGCAGATTTCACCTGCCACTAATGCTGTGCCCTGTTCTTTTCTTGGTTCTTTTATTTGCCACCACCGTTAGCCACCCATCTGTATGTTCTTGCATCCTGTTACTATACCATCATTTATACCTTGAGGAAAAAGTACATACATACACACACGTATCCTCTTTCCTATGCCTGACCCTTTCTTTTCCTATATTCAATGCTACCTAAAAGTTATTTTGTTCAACTGAACTACAATCATGGGTGAGGTTCATCAGTAATGCAAACCAGTACAGAACCCATTTAATTTAGTGATGTAGACCATAAAAGAACAGTGGGAAAAAAACTGAGATGACTCTGACACTAAAAAAAATTAGAATTTGAAAAAGGATCCTTGAAGATTTATTAGGCATACATAAAAGATATCAACTGGTATTTTTGAAAGACTGACTATTGCTTTACAGGCTCCCTACGACTGAGCATCAGAAACTAGATATACAAGTAAAAGCCTCAACTCAGCCAACCCATCCTGCAGCACCAGGATTACCTACTGTCCCATTTACTCTAAGGCAGCTGAGTGTATTCAGATCTCTTCTTACTCAAAGATAAATAGGACTTACAAGTTCTTCTCAGATATTAACTTACGGGGATCCTTTCTTCAATATTAAGCTCTCCTTTCTCTGGAGTCTCCAGAACAGCGGTCGCTCCGACAGAGATGAAGTTGTCATCTTCTGCACTGGTGAAGAAGTGCTTGGAAACCACTGAAGAACACCTTGGGGAGCCCGAGGCCCCATGGCTGCTTTCCCCAGAACGAGCAGGAAGATTCAGACTATCTGGGGAAATATCACCACAGTTGTCCACGCCGACGTGACCAATATCTAAGTTACGAGGCAGTTTTGGATTTTCAAGACCATCCCATTTTTCCTGGTCACCAGTTGGAGAGTTTCCATCCTCTTTGATGAGGTGAGCAACTCTTTCACTGGAAATGCAAGCATCCGGATATGAAGTTTGCTCCACACTGCTACCTTTATCAACAGACCCAGAAGCAATCTCAGCTGTAAGCTGGTGTATCAAGGAGCCTCCTAATTTATTTTCAGGCACTCCTGAAACGTTACTTTTTCCTTCTAGAGGCTGCATTGCTTCTGTATTAACTGGTTGAACACCATCAGTCTGGGAGTTGTTTCTACTTGCAACATTTACTGAGTTGTCAGACTGAGACCTAGGAAGAGGGTGGACAGGCTCTGAGATTTTATCATGAAAATGAATATTTTCCAGGGAATGCGTCCCTCCAGAAGGAGCAGTAATATAATCTTCAGGGTTTCTGCTGCTATTTTGCATTGACAAAATATTGTTTGCAGAACTGGCAATTGCACTGTAGGCTTTCTTCCTATGTGAAATTACACCCTGGTCACTTAAAGCCAGCACATCAGGCATATTCTCTGGCTGGCTCAGATTCCAAGTGCCCACCTTCTCCATGAAATTAAGGGATGGGAGTGACTGAATTCTTCCAGTGTGAGGATATCTCAGTTTTAAGGAGTCCAAGTGCTTGTTGTTTTCTTTTTGGGCACACTGGAGAGAACGTTGCTTCTCAACAGATGTAGGTGTACTGGTAGATGACTTCCCAGAATTGTCTTCATTTAGGCATAAAGGAGAGGCTTCAACATCTGATTTGATCACACGAGCACCCACTTCTGCCCTGACATTTCTGTTTAACAGTATCCCTGGAGTAGACTGATAGCTTGGATGGGAGAAGTGTCTAAAGAACGAGCCATCATCTACAATGCAATTAAGCGAAGGGGAAATGTCTGTAACTTTATGTCCCCTTTCTATGGAAACATCTGAAATAGTTAATTCAGCCTTGTGAACTCCAGGCTCCACTTCCACGTGGGCATTCTCACTGCAGGAAGGAGGAGATTCCATGCTGGTCACGACTGGTTGTTTGGGGGCTCTATCACTGGTGCTTGGCACAATGGGGCTCAACTCCTCCTCTCTCAAACCTTGCTTCTCCTCACGATCCAGGAAAGCTCCCTGGACTTCATTAGGAACAGCTACAAACTTCATGCTTCCAAAGTCACTCAAATCCACTCGGCGCCCCCTGGACTCTCCAGCAATTTCTGAAGTCTTTGCAGAAAACACATCCTGTGTACCTGAACTTTTACCACTGTCTTTCTTCAAATCATCAGATAACGTCTGAGAAGAACCAAGCTCAGGAACTTTCTCTTTTTCCAGCCTCTCTGGATGTCTCAGGCACCCTTCTGACTCACTCTCAGCCATTTTTACCTTTTCCATTTGCATCTCTCTTTCACCTTCTCCTGAATTCTTTGTCAAAGCTGTTTTACAAGAGGAGTTTTCAGAAGATGAGAACTCATCACGCCTCAGTAACTCTTTTTCTTTCTCTGAAAGCTCAAAAACTGGAGCCAGCACATTGTTGTCACAAGTGAAACAGTCATCTTCTGTAGAAGTACCACAGGTCTGCTTTACAAGTGAAGCTTCCATTTGGTTCACTGCTTTGTCACCCATCTGGGAGATCGATGCCCTCTCATTAATATCATTTTTGCAGTCTTCACTCGCCTCCTTGTTCATAAGTGGTTCAGAAGAACGAGAGGTTTGCTGAGACAAATAGCTGGCATCACTAGGTTCTGCCTGCTGGAATGAAAGGGGATGCTGGGACAAGGAGCAGCAGCCGCTGGGAGCATCAGAGGGCGTTTCAACATCTGTCAGCCAGGCAGCTTCTGGGATGTGCAAAGGATCTGAATGCTGCTCGGAAGCACCAGAAACATCAGGAACTCCTCTACAAGAAAGGGGCACAGTAAGAACATTTCTGGTGATGTTTTTCCATTTCAACAGCTTTAGTGTAAGAGGCTAAAAGAGGACTTAATCCAATTAGGGTTTAGTAACATGCAGATAAATGCAACCTCTACAAAGGGGAGAGTCCAAATAATATCAGAGAGCTCTACTGACTGCAAAATAAAAATCAGAAAACGAAATTAGTTTTGACTTAGTACATCATTCTTTCTAGTCAGTTTAAGACTGGAGGATTTTGCTTGTTTGTATGTCACAAATTACAATGCATATTAGTTAAATAACTGCAAAACAGACAAAGTCCAAAGAAAATAGAAAAGTTGCTCACATACTTCCAAAAGCATACAAAAACATATATATTGTATGTGATATGTACTAAGGAACACTGTTAGGCAACCAGTTCATTGGGCAACACTGTTGGTAGGTGAACAGTTGGACTAGGTGGTCTCAGAGGTCTTTTCCAGCCTTAATGATTCTGTGACATTGTGATACGTATGTTTATACATAGACTTTTTCCCTCTTCAATAAGAGGGTGAAGATTTCTTGCCTTCTTCACATGAGAGTCATTTGCCTCACGTTCATATGAAGGCTTTGAGAAAGACTTCATGGAAATTGCTAGTGCAGTAATTTGTACTTTTCATTAAACAAATGAAGTTTTTAAATCACACATTAATACACACAAAGCACATATAGAATAAATCACCTCGATCCAACCCCTTTGGCACAGGCAGAGACACCTCCCATTAGATGAGCTTGCTCAAAGTCCCAGCCAGCCTGGCCTTACGTACTTCCAGGCAGAAGGTATAAAGTACATGCGTGCCTGTAAATGCACTCATTATTATTTGAAATACAAGTTGGATCAGATTTTTATCCCCAGAATTCAATACATTTTATTTCAGAATCTAAAGAGATGTCAGGGAGGGCAGAGTTCCTCATTTGCTCATTTTTTTCAGGTACACTGGAATGAAGAGTTCACGAGGTCTGTTCAGGTTTCCTCTTGTTCAAACTCTTCTGTAGGCAAAATAAAGCAAAGAATTCTAACAAAGGCTTCTGTCTACTAAAAGGAAAATAAAAAAGAAACCACTTTGTCCTATTTCTGTGACTGTAAAATGGTAATTATGAAAGGAAGGACAAGTTATGGCCAGCCAGGAAAAAAAATGCTGTATTCTGCCATGGCACCAGGTAACTTGATCCTACCTTAAATGAATGAAATCCCTTTCTGATTGCTGGAAAAGCGTCTCATCCAAAATCCTTTGGCCTGGTGTTGAATACATCAGCAATGGAAGACAGGGAGAGAATTGACTGTCCTGCATACCTGTTAAAAATAACACCACCACAGTAATAAAAGTTTATAAGGCAATCCCTCTTTAAACTGACATGGCAACTAACACAGCTTTCAAACCCAGATGGATGCCAACCACACAAATGGTCGTAACCCCACCAATCACTCTACTGAAGCATTATTTCCTTATGTGCTGAATTCAGGTGTCTTACCTACACAGCTCAGGTTCCTTCTCACCAATCTCAAAGCACTGCTTGACAGTGACATCCCTAACTTACCCTCTTATCCTCAGATTTATCTTTGTGCCCACCTGTGTCCTTTTCCAGTCATCAGTCAGCACCTCCCCTAGTGATTTCCATGCATACTTGGAGGACATCTGCAGGGCTTCCACCCAGATCACCATTCATTGCAACAATAAAACACTGTTGTCTTCTCCAGTCACCATAAGTTTTGATTACAGCAAAGGCTGTACAGTTTCCCTTAGAGTTTAAAGATGCAAGTAATAGCAAAATTTAGTCACCACCACGATATTATTACCACTGTTTACTACTGTAGGAGGAAGTTTGAGTTTCTATTGTTGAGTTTCTATTGATTTTCTTTGAGCTACCTGGCACATCTAACCTTTCTAATTCCATGCTTACAAAAACAAAGGGAAATGCTTTATACCACAAAAGGAAAACCAACTACAAACTTGCATCTGATAGACAGAAATGACTACACAGTTACTTACAATACTGCTGTAAGCAAACACATGCTTTTAAGCTAAAAAGCAACTTGTCATCAAGATCCTCAATTTCAGCATCAGAGTTCTCACTGATTTCAATTAGGTTCTTCAGTTTTCAAGCATTACAAACAAACTATACTCTGCATCACTGACAGAAGCATAATCACATCAGATATAAGCCATTACACACAAAGAATCAACTTCAACCATACGTCAGCTTTACCCTGAGGCTTTCCACACAGTGTATTACATCACCTGATGAGTGTTATCCAACCACAAGATGACCTTTCTGATTCACTTGTAATTTAATACTTCCAATTAACGTCTTTAATTACTTTAGAATATTACATAGCAAGAGCACAACTAACAGAGCAGAAATAATTCTGCATCGCCCAGCAATGCCCTACTTCCCATCCCATCAGCAGACAGAATAATAATAGATGCTACCCAGTTTCAAAGACTCCCTTCTACCTCAGCAGCTGGCTGCACCACATGGCAGGCCTAATGTCTCCTAAAGGAAGCCAACCTTAAACCTTAGCATCTATAGTACAGATGGCACAAGCATGCTGCAGCAGCTCAAGCAGGGAGTCTGTTTTCCCAGCATTCAGTGCCTCTCCAAAGCTCAACTCTCCCCACTGCTTCGTTAGGTAAATGCACTGCATTACTCACCACTCCACTGCACTTTCGTCTTAAATATTTGCAATACCAAACAGATAGGAAGAGTAAGATAGGCTGTCTGCTTTTTTCAGAAGTTTTGAGGAACACAGTGGTAACATTTATTAAAAAGCAGCACTGCTTCTGAGCAACTTGACAAAAGAAAGCGTTCAGAAGAGGCTCTGATGTAGACTGGTAAGCATCAGTGCAAAACAGGGTGAAAAAATTACAGCGTGCATGGAAATGGTACAAAAAGTAGTTAGAAAGAAAGAACAAAAAAAGGAGAAGAAAACACTGACAGCAGCAGCGTAGGAGAAGCAGGATCCAAGGGCAAAAGGGAGCAAGGTCAGGGATGTCTCATTTACAGCAGCGTCAGGCTGCTATCAGGAGCGTGGCCACATTTGCAGCACTGATCTGTACTTGTGATTTCATGGTTTGAATCATGATTTAAAAACCAAGGAACAGGAGACTGATTTAATCCACTGTCATTTGTAACATTTCAGGCTTAGAGAAAACAGAGGCTTGCTTTCAGTGGTTGATACTGGCTTAGAATCAAATACATTCGGCACAGTAGATTTCTCATTCCCAAACACTAACTGGGAACAGACAAAGTTTACAGTGTTATTTAATCAAACATTTGTTCTGTTCACTATATATTTATTCAAGTCATTATTTTTCATTTTTATTATACCTGAAAATACTGAAACAACAGGCAAACTGTAGCATTTATTTTAAGAAACGTTAAGCAAGTTGGAAGCCAAACTCCCTTAGCTGTATTACATGCACTTCTTTCCTCCCAAATCTGGTTTTGCATTTAAAATGCTATTACTGAACAAAGGAAATAGTAATTGCAGTTATTGAATTAGACTTGTCATCGCACATCACGATAGACCTCACATTCTCAGAACTGGCAACTTACTTTTACTCACACAACAGAAGCAGCTTTTCTCCATTTTCAGCTTAACTTCTTCACTTTGAATGAAAAAGTGTTTTCAAGCTAAACTGAGAATCAGCAGTGATTAAAGAGAAAGCCTTCTGCACCATGCAGCCTGGGGGTGCTGCCTTGGTAAATGAAGAGACAAAAAGACTACGAGGGAGGGAACTGAAAAATAATTGGGAAAACAAAATGTCAACTGCTGTCAAAAACAGATCCTGCCAAACAATTTTTAATGCATCTACACGTTCTGATAAAATAGATGCGTATGTACACACACAAAGTCACAACATTTGGCTGATAAATCCATGCTTTGAGGATATACTTGATCAAATGTAAGTATTGCTCAGTATTTGCGCTAAGAAATGCAACCTAGAACTCAAAGTGATGAAAAATGATACAGCATTCTCCACACAGTGACATACAGGAATTTCTCACAACACAGGTGTGCATCACAGAATCATAGAGTGGCTTGGGTTGGAAGGGACCTCAAGGATCATGAAGCTCCAACCCCCTGCCACACACAGGGCCACCAACCTCCACATTTCATACCAGCCCAGGCTGCCCAGGGCCCCAAACAACCTGGCCTTCAACACCTCCAGGGATGGACGGGGCATCTCTGGGCAGCTGTTCCAGCACCTCACCACTCTCTCTGTCAAGAACTTCCCCCTCACATCCAACCTAAATTCTCCCCTCCCTCAACTTCAAACCATTTCCCCTTGTCCTGCTGTTATCTGCCTTTTCACAGAGTTGACTCCCCTCCTGTCTGTAGGCTCCCTTTAGGTACTGCAGGCTGCAATGAGGTCACCCTACAGCCTTCTCTTCTCCATGCTGAACTAGCCCAGCTCCCTCAGCCTGTCTTCATAGGGGAGATGCTCCAGCCCTCTGCTCATCTTTGTGGCTCCTCTGGACCCTCTCCAACAGCTCCCTATTTTTCTTGTACTGGGGGCTCCAGACCTGGATGCAGTGCTGCAGATGGGCCTCACAAGAGCAGAGTAGAGAGGGACAATCACCTCCCTGTCCCTGCTGGCCACCCCTTTTCTGATGGAGCCCAGGATCCCATTTGCTTTCCAAGCTGCAAGAGCACACTGCTGGCTCACATTCAGTTTTTCATCCCTCAGGACACCCCAGGTCCTTCTCTGCAGGGCTAAATGTCTTCATATTGTTGTTGTTTTTTTTTTTATTGTGCATCTTGTCCCCTCAGCAGCCATTCTTGGCCCTGTCCTGTTTGCAACCACTCAACTGGCCTCCAGACACCCCTGTGTTCTTACAAAGCAGGCACATGGATGAAGCAGATGTCTGCCAAGCAATGAGCAGCTTGCATCGCTGATGCTGGGCACTCTGGTTCACCTGGCAGCACAGCATGGCAAATCACAGAAATCTTCCTATAACTGAGGCCCAGTTGTCATCACAGGTGCCTGCTAGACCTGTTCAGTGTGTTGAAGGAGGGCAACCTAATCACAATCTTGTATGTAAGTACAGAAGACCAGAACTTTGGTAATTAGGAGCATTTCAGACAACGTATAACAGCAGCTCAACATAAAACCCTGAAGCTATGCAATCTCAGATGACAAATAAGATACTCCTGAATGCATCAACATGTCCCTACATTGCTGGCTCTCTACGGGACGTGCAAGGCAGTTTAGATAGAACATTCATAGATTCAACATTTATATTCAACAGCACAAGTTTTGCTTCAATTCTCTCTTCCTTCCCTCTTCAGCTTCCTTCAGAACTCCTGAACAGGAGCCCCAAAGTTCTCCAACAGCACCTAAAGCATCAGAACTGCGCTACAGCAAGAGAAAGCCCCAGTCACTCCACATCAGCCCAAGGATGTGCTCCCTCACTTTTTTTCTTTCTCCCTCCCTTGAACAGACAGCAGCACTTCAAGCCAAACAAAACGTAATGTTAGTTAGAAATGGAGATGGTCTCATTTCAGTCCCAACAGCAAACTGATCTGATTGCACTGATTCACACAGCTACAGGACGCAGCAGGAACAAACGACGCAAATCCAGGCTCTTCCTTTTCAGAAGCAGCCTTCAGCTGACTAAATATAGCCAAAACTGCACCCCCCAGCCTGGCCTCCACTTCAGTCTTGCTTCCCTGATTCAAAGAGGGCTCTGGCTTTGCCCCGTAGCAGGGATGTGCCTTAGGTTGTCAGACCATCCCTTCCCCAGAGCTTTCCCATCACAGGAGCAGTGGTGAGCAGTGACTTGAAGCAGCAGCTGACTGACAAGGCCAAGCAAGAAGAGGGAAGAAAAAGGGAACAGAGAAAAGGAGGAAAAGGGAGTAATTGAGATTCACTGCAGTCACATCCTTGGTGGAAATCCTCTCCTCCAGCCTGTCCCCTGCACAACCACCCTCATCAACACAACAGCTGACATTTAACAGGGCTACAAGAGTGACATTTCATGCCGTGCAACTCCACCCACGTCAAATGTTTTACCTTGCATGGTTTTTTATTTTAACCTTCTCCGACCTTACAGCACACAAAGTCTAATGCTTTGAGTAACTTTCTTTCTTCTAGAGGGAAAAAGATCACTGCCATCATATTTTGGATGCTTACGATGATGGAGGGGCTCATTACATTCAGCCATAACCCAGGTTTTGCAGGCAGAGAAGCAGGTGCTTGATGCTTAAAGCAGCAAGTGACGTCAGTACAACACTCTTTGAGGATCTTGTGTCAAAACAGTAATTCTTCCTGCTGTCGCTCTGAAGGTCAAAAGCTTCCTCACAGTTGAATTCACTGAACAAGCAAAGCTGGGCACGCTATTTTATCTTACAGCCTGCTGACAATCCTGAATGCCAGAGTCAAATTGCCATTTGTGGAAGATAAAAAAAAAAAAGGAAGGCAAAACAAAAACAGAACCTTCTTGGCTTTGTCAATCTGTTCCACGATGCAGCAGGAACTATTTCAACACAACTGTCATTCTTATTTTTTCTTGCTACCACCAAAAGGGGATTCAAAACACTTCCTGAAAAAGGAACAGATTAGCATTACAGCACAGTGATATTCACCACTGAACCCATGAGGCCTGTAGGAGCCATGAATACCTAGCAGGTTATTCCCCCAAGGCAACTCCAAACTCATCCCCTTAAGCAGCTTCAGAACAAAGAGCAGCATGAGAACAAGCAGGTAGAGGAACAGCAAACTGCAAGCTGAACTTGCAGTTAACTGAAAGAAACAGAGGCTTATTTTAAAATACCACAAGCAATCATGCTATTTGCCTGTAATTATTTTGTTTGTTCCTGAAAAGAATGGCCCAGTGGCGCAGTGAAACCAGCCTTAGAGACAGCTCTATTCAGCAATTTCAGTTACATCCTGGAAAAGTGAGTCACAAATACACCATAATGGGTGTGGTAACACTTGATCTTGCAGTGAACCTCTAAGGAAAATCAATACAAAAAGAAACACTTGAGATTTTGTAACAGCATCGTTCAGAAGTGAGTTTTCAAGAAGTAAATGCAAGTAGGTGCATAAAAGGAGCCTTGATGGGGCGTCAGGAAAGAAAAGAACTAACATTTATAGCACAACTTTAGGCCTACATGCAATAGCTGTATTGCACCCAATGGACAAGGAGCGTGGCTGAGGGACGGGTGGGCAAATCTTAATATGGTAACTTGGATGCAAGGAAACAGAAATGCGATCACAGAATCCTAAAATGGCCTGGGTTGAAAAGGAGCACAATGCTCATCCAGTTCCAACCCCCTGCTGTGTGCAGGGTCACCAACCAGCAGACCAGGCTGCCCAGAGCCACATCCAGCCTGGCCTTGAATGCCTGCAGGGATGGGGCATCCACAGCCTCCTTGGGCAACCTGTTCCAGTGCCTCACCACCCTCTGAGTGAAAAACTTCCTCCTCATATCCAACCTAAACCTCCCCTGTCTCAGTTTACAACCATTCCCCCTTGCCCTATCGCCACCCACCTCCTCCTGTTTATACGCTCCTTTCAAATATTGCAGGACCACAATGAAGTCTCCCCAGAGCCTTCTCCTCTCCAAGCAATAAGTTAAAACAATGCAAATGTAAGCAAAGCAAGCAAGGAAACCAGCTCAGCATTGGTACCTAAAACAAGCATTCCTAACAGCCTTCACTAGCTCTGTCCTCCACAGATAGCACAGGAGGAAAAACCAACTACTGAAGCCACATGGGTATTGAAAACTACACTGGAAGGAAATGATCTCTTGAGATCAGTTGGCTACATGGAATCACAGAATGGCCTGGGTTGCAAAGGAGCACAATGCTCATCCAGTTCCAACCCCTGCTGTGTGCAGGGTCAGCAACCAGCAGCCCAGGCTGCCCAGAGCCACATCCAGCCTGGCCCTGAATGCCTGCAGGGATGGGGCATCCACATGCTGTGCTGTGTTTAAATGCAGTTTAACCCCAAAACATGGTTTATCCTCTTGGCTGCCAGGAATGCTGCTGTCATCACCACCCCCAGGTCCCTTTCTGCTGAGCTGCTCTCCAGTCACTTCTCTCCCTTAATAAATCAATTGCCAGAGCTTAAGGTTGAAGATTAAAAAAAAAAAAAAAAAAAAAAAAAAAGCTAAATATTAATAAATAAAGGCAATAAAGAAAAATAGATCCAATCAAAATTGGCTCCACTTCCACAATTAATTAGTATCTCTTGCTGGGGACAGATGCACTTGCTATGATTAATTGCAATGAAGGGAGGAAAAAAAAAATCGTCTCATTTCCACCATTTTGAGGATAATTCCAAATTACTATAATAAATCAGTAGGGCTGTGGCATTCTTGGTGTCCTAAGATGCAGAGAATAATGCTGTGATACTAACAGAAGTCTCATAAGATTTGCTAGTACATGAGGATTATACATCATAGAAATAGATTTAAATGGAACGTTCTGTCTCCACATGGATGAAAATGAAACATAATCCAGAATGGATGAGAACTTTCAGATCAATCTTCAACTACATCACAGTGATTGGATGTGAAAGGAAGCTACAGAAAGGCTTATCTTTCCCAGTTAGAATTAGAAAGTGTTTCTGACAGTAATATAAATTGTACCCAAACACTAGAGTTAGTAATTAGGACCACTAATAGAATATCAAGTACCATTATAGTAGTGTGTGGTTACTGAACTACCACTTATCTGAACACATCTTGCAGAAAGGAGCATTGAGTAGCCTGAATTCGTGAGAAAGGGGTACAAACAATCTCATTCTGAAGATGTGATTTGACAACAATGTTAAACAGAATGTATTTTGTCAACAGCAGTTCTCAAAATAAGATGACAAATCCGGGCTGAAGACTGCTTTTAAAGAAGAGTAAAATCCTAATCATCTAGCAGATTTAAAATGAAAGTAAAGAAGGAAGTGCCATGTTGAACATACCCAGCAGCAAGCCATGAACTGTATCTTCAGGATGCTGCCTTCTCGATGTTTCTGCTGAAGGCAACATTCCTTCCTCCAGGGTAGGGAACTCAGTCAGGTCATTCCTATCAGAAGCCAGGCCAAGCTTTGTCTCTGAGGCAGCAGTTAAACGGCTGGCATCCACCTCTGCTGGAAGCTGATACCATGAGTCAATTTCCTAAGAACAGGCAGGGAGATAAAGCGTGCACGAGGATCAAAGGAAAATTTTATCAGATGCACTTCCAAGGAAATAAAACTTACACTGCAGAATAGCAAAACTGTTGCTTCTAAGTTATACTTTCTATGCAAATACTCAGTTTTTACATGTAAAAGAAGTACAATGCAGTCATGAACTGCTGAAGTCTGTTGTCAGTTCTTACCACCTACTGATCACCAGCCTTCCATCTCCTGTCACAAACTGAGCTCTCTCTCCAAATCTGACAAAAGCAGAAAATTTTTCCAAACCAAAATCATAGAATGGCTGCGGTTGGAAGGGACCTCAAGGATCACAGATCTCCAACCCCCTGCCACAGGCAGGCCACCAACCTCCACATTTCATACCAGCCCAGGCTGCCCAGGGCCCCAAACAACCTGGCCTTCAACACCTCCAGGGACGGACGGGGCATCCACAGCCTCTCTGGGCAGCTGTTCCAGCACCTCACCACTCTCTCTGTCAAGAACTTCCCCCTCACATCCAACCTCAATCCTTCCCTCCCTCACTTCCCCTCATCCTGCTGTTATCCACCCTTTCACAGAGTTGACTGTCTGTAGGCTCCCTTTAGGTACTGCAGGCTGCAATGAGGTCACCCCGCAGCCTTCTCTCTCCAGGCTGAAGAAGCCCAGCTCCCTCAGCCTGTCTTTGTAGGGAGGTGCTGCAGCCTCTCTGTTCATCTTTGTGAAATTTCTCATTCAGAAAGAACAACCCTGATGAAGACAAATGCTTCAGGAGGATGCTGGGTGATACAGTACCCAGTAAAGGCAGCTTGCAGTGTGCAGCTGGCAACTACTAAGCAAAGCACTTCCCAACTGCACAAAATAAAGCAGTCTGTGTTACTTTAAATCCCATAAGTAAACTTCAGCCACAACTCATAGAAGCACAACCCAAATACCTGATGAGCAGCCGTTCTCTGACGTATTGCTTCTCCCAGGGAGATCCCGCTGGCAGCTGAGGCCTGGGTCTCACTGCTGCTTTGGCTTAAGGATTCCTCCCTCCAAGTGCGGCGTGGCGGAGTTGTTGCAATAGGCTGAAAGGAAAATTCACATTTCTAAAGCAAAATGTAATTTCTGGGTATGTATACATATATTTCATAGCCTATTACCTAAAAAGAAAATACACAAGACATCTCCAGTACCATAAGATAGCCATCTACCACCACATTTAACCAGTGACTGAAATTCCACAGGGTCCAGACACTCAGCTAAGAAGGGCAGGTTCATTTGCTGCTTTAAAACACAAAAATTGAGCCCAGGGGGCTGCTTGTGAATGCAGCCAGCCCAGCACTGCTGACCACAGCCAGAATCCCACATGCTGCCTGCAGGCAGCTATGGGTCATCTGGGAGCCCTACACAACTGCACCTACAGCTTCTGTACAGGGCAGCGAAGCAAATCACTTGGAACAGCAAGAATATTTGTGCTCCCATTTTCTTTCCACACAAGGTGTTGAAGCACTGAGGAACCCAGAACACAGGGAGCAGCTGTCCAACACTGTCTCAAAGTGTTTCTCTGCACACACAGAAGTTAGCTTGGGCTCTGTGACAAAGCTAAAGGCAATAATTGCAGCCTGCACCCATACCTTCAGTCACTACTGCATTGCACTCCCTTAGTTTTTCTTCTTCACATAATCAAGTAATTAAAAGAAGTGGCACTGAAGTGCACACGACAGCAGCTCTGAATTCAAAACATTCCAGCAGCTATTCCATAATTTAATTGAGGCTTATTACTGAAAATTTGATTTCAAAGGACAATTTTATTAATTCAGATGGAAATTAATAGCATCAGGTAGGGGACCCAACTGTGCCAAAAAGAAATAGGTACAGATTTTATTTAGCTATGCTGAGCATAATTAATTAGCTGAGTGTTTTAGAGGACAGAAGAATGGATGAGTAATGACAGCAAGATGCACACAATGAACAAAAGACTTAAACAACAGAACTGTGCATCTTATTCTTTACTCTCCTCTTTAAAATAACCTATGGTGAGCAAACCCTGTCCACCTCGATCACTTAGTGCAGTCTCTGAAGCACTGAGAGCTGAACAGCAGGCCTCCAACCAAAGCTGACCCCGAGATGAATCTCACAGCCAAGCATTATAGATCATCAGCATCAGACCATTAGCAAAATGTGTATCTTGGACAAAATGGCTCATCAGCAAGAGATGCAGCTTAGCTAAAGCATTATGAGAAATGCTTTAGATATTAGGAGGAAGTTGGAAGGCTGGATGTGGCTCTGGGCAGCCTGGTCTGCTGGTTGGCAACCCTGCACATAGCAGGGGGTTGGAACTGGATGAGCATCGTGGTCCTTTTCAACCCAGGCCATTCTACGATTCTATGAATGTAACACTTCACAGCTGTAGCTTCTCATTCTTGGGTAGTGCAGCTTCATGCACATGAGTAGCACTGCTCTTCAAAGGAACCTCACGTGACATGAACACCATAATGGAAATCATCTCTCCTTTCTAAAGGAACAGTTCTTGTTTGACATTCATCATTGATGAAGAAAGAAATATGAAAGTTTCTCAGTTTTGCACCATCAAATGCTTGAACACCGAAACTCAAGCCTCCCTGCTTTATTCTGACCAACAGATCACTCAAAATAAGGCAAGGCTTCAAGAATCCTCACAATTAAAAACAAACTGTCTTCATTGACCACAAAGTTGTACAAGCAGTAAGTCGTAGCACTACGTTGGCTACAGAGTTCCATCTCATTTTTATAGCTCAACACCTTTCAGAAGTTCCATGATGTCTTTCAACAACCATAAAATGGCCCTTCAGAAGGAAGGTAGAGCCTCTGTTCCTCCTTAGCAAGCAAAAATTTGGTATGTAAGTCAACTACATGTTTCTTTAGTTCTGAACACAGTTAACAGCCTGCTACTACCAAGCTGCATTGCTTTATTGCCTACAGAGAAGAAGCAAGCAGGGCACGGTAGCACACACCGCTCAGTCCTTTCAGTAGAAGCTTGCTGATATATGGCACTCATAAAACTACAGCCCTGGGTGTGACAACTTTGACAAAGATGGGCTTACAGAGCTAGCCTCTCTCTGCTGATTGAAATTATAGCAAACGCCTCTTGCAACAAAAACACAATAAAGGTGTAAGAGCAGCCACAGCAGGACAAGCAGAAGATGCAGCTGGCATCTGCACTGCATCCCCCCCACTCACAGCAGGCAGTGTGCTGGCAGCATGCTTGGCTCAGGTCCATCTGGTATTCCCAGCTCTGAGCTCTGGTTGTCAGAGCAGCAGCTAAATCACAGGGCTAAACAAACGTGGAGAAGGAAGCGATGGCTACCGTGAGACAACAAAACACAGAACCCCAAACGGGGCAAAATGATCTGATCTATGATGAGCACCAAGAAGACAAAATGAGACGCAGGAGGCAAGCTCACTGATCTGTAACTTTCTCACAAGTTACATGTGATGTTAATGAGGAAAGTTATGTCTGCGAATCAGTGCGCAGATAAACTTCGTTTCTACTTAAATATACATAAGGGCACACAATCACACAAGATCTTCTGTTTCCTAATGTCACACTGTGAACATTTTTCATCAAAAAGCTTCCAAACTGCCCCACTTGAACCCCTCTGCTTACATGTGTTGAGGCTGGACTTGCCTTTACCATGTCACACTTACTCAACTGACTGCTTCCATTCATTTAATTCCTATTGATTGCCCAAGTAAGACTGAATCCTGTAGCAACCCATCATTCTTCCTGGGGAACGTCTGCAGACAGTGTGACAGCAACCACTGTGAGACCTCAGAGATCCTTCAGAGCTCCAAGGTGAAGCTTTGCAGTGAGCTTTTTGGTTTCAGAGAATTGTTTTGAGTTGGAAGGGACCCCGAAGGCCACCTAATCCAACTGCTCTGCAACAAACAGCAGCACCCACAGTTCCATCTGATGCTCACAGCCCTGTCCAGCCTGACCTTGGTGCCTCCTAGGATGGGGCACCCACTGCCTCTCTGGGCAACCTGTGCCAGCGATTCACCACCTTTAGCATCATTTTTCCTCAAACCCAGTCTACATCTCTCCTCTTTGAGTTGGAAATCATTTCCCCACCTATCAAGGAGGCTGTGGATGTCCCATCCCTGCAGGCATTCAAGGCCATGCTGGATGTGGCTCTGGGCAGCCTGGTCTGCTGGCTGGTGACCCTGTACATAGCAGGGGGGTTGGAACTATGTGACCATTGTGGTCTTCTTCAACCCAGGCTATTCTACAACTCTATGATTCACAATCTCCTCATCTCCAGTGCTGCAAATCACAGAGAGCCCTTCAGGGTCACAGGGGGCTCTGAGAGGCTGCTCCATCCGCACTGCACAAAGCCAGGAAGGCACAAAGCAAGCAGGCCAATGTCACACACACACAAACACACATACACTGAAGGGATGGAGGGGGAGGGACCAGGCCAGCTGCAGCCCCTCTCTGCCCAGAGAAGAACAGCGGCCTGTGGGGGCACACGTCCCCCACCCACACCTTCCCTGCCGGATAACCCTTTCAAAACTCGCCTAACTGAGCCTCTCAGCGCTGTTCATACTCACAGGAACCCGCTGCTCCTCCTCATCCTCATCCTCCACCTCCTCTCCCGGCTCCATGGCCGCCGCGCTGCCCAGCTACCACAGCGCCCTCCGCGCGCGCCCACTCTGCGCATGCGCCGCCGCCCCGTCGCTAAGGACTCGCCGCGGCCCCGCGCATGCGCCAACGGTCACCGTTGGAGGCGGGAGCGGGCGGGGCGCCGCCGAGCGGTGGCTGGGGGAGAGCGCGGGAAAAAGTAGGCGGGCGGTGTGGTGCGCGGGTGGGGGATGGGGGTTGGGGTTCTACACGTGTGGCTGTGGTGGCTGCACGGCACGGCTCCGATAGAGCGAGCTGGAGTCAGTAGGAGTGTTACAGTCGTTAAGGTTGGAAAAGACCAGTGTGATCACAGAATTACAGAATGGCCAGGGTCGGAAGGGACCTCAAGGATCATGAAGCTCCAACCCCCTGCCACACACAGGGCCACCAACCTCCACATTTCATACCAGCCCAGGCTGCCCAGGGCCCCAAACAACCTGGCCTTCAACACCTCCAGGGATGGATGGGGCATCACAGCCTCTCTGAGCAGCTGTTCCAGCACCTCACCACTCTCTCTGTCAAGAACTTCCCCCTCACATCCAACCTCAATCTCCCCTTCCTCAACTTCAAACCATTTCCCATTGTCCTGCTGTTATCAACCCTTTCACAGTGTTGACTCCCCTCCTGTCTGTAGGCTCCCTTTAGGTACTGCAGGCTGCAATGAGGTCACCCTACAGCCTTCTTTTCTCCAGAGTGAACAAGCCCAGCTCCCTCAGCCTGTCTTCATAGGGGAGGTGCTCCAGCCCTCTGCTCATCTTTGTGGCTCTCCTCTGGACCCTTTCCAACAGCTCCCTGTCTTTCTTGTACTGAGGACTCCAGACCAGGACACAGTACTGCAGATAGGACCTCCCAAGAGCAGAGTAGAGAGGGACAATCACCTCCCTGTGATCACATAGTCCAACCCCAGCCCACCTCACCATGCCCACTGGCCATGTCAAGATGGGGCTCTGCGAGGCGCTCGATTCACTGAGTTCATAGAATCATAGAATGGTTTGAATTGGAAGAGATCCTTAAAGGCCATCTGGTCCCATTCCCTGCAGTGAACAGGAGCACCCATAGCTCTGTTGATGCTCACAGCCCCATCCAGCCTGACCTGAATGTCTCCAGTTATGGGGCACTCACCATCTCTCTGGACAACCTGTGCCACTGCTTCACTGCCCTTATTGTAAAAACCTTCTCCTTTTATCCACTCTAGATGTCCCCTCTTCCCCCATCCTATCACAACACAACCTGCTAAAGAGTCTGTTCCCTTCAAGCTCCTGCAACGCTTTCAAGTCAAGATGAGTTCCTACGAGCATCAGTGGACTCACAGTTGGACTAGATGATCTTAGTGGCCTTTTCCAATCTTAATGACTCTGTGATTCCATGAGAAGGCCTCCGAGTCAAGATGGGTCCTTACCAGGCTTCCAGGTTAAGATGGGTCCCTACAAGGCCCCCGTTAGGTCTGGATGCCACTGAGCTCCTCTGATGGTTCTCATTTTGAGATGCCATGAGGGAATGTGAGCCCCACATTTTACGCCAACGCTCCCATTCGGTACAACTGCTCCCATCTGCAGTGATGTTCTGTGTTTTGGCTGCTCATCGGCAAGGATGAGGGAGGAATTCCCCCTTCATTCCCATTCATCCAGCTGTGTTTTCCTTGCTTATCTTTCCTCTAAAGGATCAGGAGCAGGTGAAGCCAGAGCAGCAGATGCAGATCATCGATCTGACATGGCACAGTCCTTCCCCTGTGGCTTGAGAGCTACGGAGGAGTGAGAAGTCTCAAGGGTCATTGATTGAAGCTTTGCAATCCATGCTGCACAGACAGAGCATGATTTAATCATCCATAAGCTTATTGAGCTCCTTCTCAAAAGCAATTACGCTTTTCTGGTGTTGTTATAAGCAATATGTCCAGCTGTCCATACACATATAGATCTCGACTGTCCACCTCTCTACGTATCGGACCATAAATAACTGCACCAGTTTTCATTCTCTGCTAAGCAGAAGGAAGCTGAAACAGGCTGAAAAAATAAAGGAGCTTCCACAACATTCTGCCTCCCGAGTTATTTATTCTCCTCACAGCAGTTATCTGCCACGTATCCAACGTAACATCTCCCAAAGGGCAGTGTATGTTCATTTCTGTCTCTGTTGATGCTGCAGTCAGTTGGGTGTTGTTTTTTCAGCGCTGGATAAATCAGAAGAGCAAAATACATCAAGGAAAATATCCCTGAAAATAATTAAAATGCTGACAAGGAAATGCGGCTTTAAATCCAAACCCATCTGCTATTACAGAGGCGATGGATTTTGCTGGTTTCGGGGCCATCCTTGCTTACATCCCCAAAAGCCATCACCTAACAAGGTGAGGCTGAAGAAAGTGCTTTATATGAGCATGCCTGGAGTGAGGAAGAGGCAGCAATAAGCGGATGCCTCCGCAAGAATCAGCCTCCATCCTTGCTTTTGCTGGGAAGTACAAGGAATAGCCTGTTTGATTTCAGTGCCATTTTCCCCTAATTACAGTGGTACAAGGGAGAACAGAGTTTAGCCCATACGTTGTAGTGCTAATAACAGTTCCAAATGTCATCTGTGAGAAAGCTTGCCATTTGCTTTTCTCAGCTGCGAATGACTGAAGGGCTTCTCTTGTCATACAATACAGAAATTCTGTCATACCCTTTATTTTTAGAAGAGCAATTCACAGGCAGAGAGGGGTGGAGGAAGGGTTTTCTGAATGTTTATCGCTTGCACATCATACAGGAAGCTGCTCAAATTCTTTATTAATTTTTCTAACAATATCCAGAGCCTTACTCAGTCTGAGATGTAATATGCTCAAATCCTTTCCAATTAAATGTCACTTGAAATGAAGATCAGGCAGGAATTAAAAGCAGCCCATTGCTGTGGAAGATTATCAGAGAGAAACAGGCCCAACCAGCGCAGCCTGCTTTGCCCAAAACTCCATGAATTCCAAGGGCTTTTAAAGGTGAAATACGATGTATTAAAATATAACTCTTAAATAATGCACTCATTGCAAAGCAGAGTATAAAATAGAGGTGTCCCTCATTACTGCAATGAAAGAAATAGTGAGAAATGAGGTCTTGACTCGTGCTGATGACGTTAATGGCAGAGCTTTTGGCATTGGATTCTGCCTCGTGCAGAAGCACCTGAGAAACCAAGGCTCCAGATGAGACCTCAGTGAAAGTGTTTAATTAAAACAGATAGAGAAGGCTCTGGGGAGACCTCATTGTGGCCTTCCAGTACTTGAAGGGAGCACATAAACAGGAGGGGGAATGGCTTTTTACGAGGGTGGATGGTGACAGGACAAGGGGGAATGGTTTTAAACTGAGACAGGGGAGGTTTAGGTTGGATATTAGGAGGAAGTTTTTCACACACAGGGTGGTGAAGCACTGGAACAGGTTGCCCAAGGAGGCTGTGGATGCCCCATCCCTGCAGGCATTCCAGGCCAGGCTGGATGTGGCTCTGGGCAGCCTGGTCTGCTGGTTGGTGACCCTGCACATAGCAGGGGGTTGGAACTAGATCATCATTGTGCTCCTTTTCAACCCAGGCCTTTCTGTGATTCTATGATTTTGTGAAGTAGACTCCAGTTTGAGGGACCTGAACGTGTAGAAAGCTTGAAATTTCTATCAGTGTTGCATAATATGTTGAATTTCTATCCCATTTAGAGGGGAAAACTGCATCAGAAGGCTCCGAACCAGGGCCAAAATCAACCCCAAAGAGACTGTGAGGAAATCAGGACTCTAAAACGTTCAGCAGGAGGGCTCATCACCAAAAAAGCTTTATCCTCTGAATGAGGAAGCTTAGGACCCAATACCAAGCATGAAAGGATAAGCTGGGATAAGAAAAGGAGCTCCAGCACCTTCCTCCCAAAGAGTGGGTGATGCTAAGCCCTGCTTTGAAGCAAAAGCAGAATACTTTTATCAGCCTTTCTCCAGTGACCCCAAGCAGGATGGTGTGCTGCTTGTTGTAATCCCAGCTGACAACAGACAGTGCCACTCCTGCGAGTGTCACAGTCACAGTGTGAGGACTTGTGTCTTGACTCACATGTTATGCAATCCTCCCCACCAGGAAGCTAGAAAGAACCTATTAAATCTGCCCACACAGCGTCTCTAATGCCTGAGCTGAAAGCGTTGGGAAATTATGATGGATGCATGGAGCCCTTCTCCTGGTTTCAGACAAATGGGGGGGGGAAAAGCTCCTTCAGAAAAATGTACAACTAATTATGGATTTTCCAGCTGAGATAATGTTTGGAGGTCTAACTTGTTCTTTAATTAAATCAGAGGTTTACACCGGAACGCTTACATTGCTGGTAGCAGTCTGTAGGGAGTAGCCTTGGATTTGGTAAATCAGCTGCCTGAATAAACCACTTGTCAAACTAAAATGTTACGTTCCTTGAATTATGTGCTAAGTTTAAACAAAAAAAAAGGGGTAGAAAAATAAAAAATAAGTGAATTTGGTGGGAACAAAGAATGGCAAACTGACAGTGCTGGAAGCTGGAAGCTGGAATCTTTCTTTTACGCACAGGATTAGGATAGCACCTGCGGTATGCATTCTGTCTGTGCCACCCATCAGTCCTTCAGCTCTGGTGGCAGAGCTCCCCAGAATCATTTGTGCCTCATCTCTCACTCACAGCTTTCGGTGGGCATTCAGCTATTGACATGGGCTCTCTGCTGTCGGGTCGTTTGAATCATTCCTGCGCTTCTCTAGGTTCTCCTCTTGCTGCTTGTCCACATCTACTGCCACCTGAGATGGGGCAGACAACACAGCATGTCTATCCGGAGCTGGTAAATCTGACACCAGACCTATGGGAGACCTGTGCCCTTATGGAAATGGACACGTGATACCGCTGGGCATCTCAAGTAGCACCCGATGCCTATGTCTGGGCCACAGAATTGATCCTCAGATTTTAATTGACCGTAAAGGGAAAGTAAAAACCTAATTTGGTTGCAGATGTTTGCGTGTTGACATGCTCCTGGTATCAGGAGCCCCAGCCTTGTACCTGCAGCACTCTCAACGGGAGCCACTCAGTG